ATCATTGTATTTCCATTGTGAATTCATGCAAAATATCTTGACATGCTATATAATTTGACCACATCAGTGCATGTGTTACAATAATAGTCCATATAAAGTACAGTAATTTGTTAAATTAGAAGTATGTGTGAGAGTGAAACCATTGTTGAAATAATATAAATCGAATGAGAGATGGCTGATATTGCTGTTGGAAGATATGGAAGATATGGTGGCTGGCACACGTTTTTAGAGACAGGTGGGACTTTTTTTTAGCAAAAAGTACAGACTGCCTCATCAGATATCGTTTGACAGCTGAAGGCCTGAAGCCAGACCCCAAGAAGGTGTAGGCAGTGTAGCAAATGCGGCCACCTACAGACGCAAAAGCAGAAAAGCAGTGCAGCTACTGCTTAGTTTTGTAAATTACTTAGCCAAATTCTTGCCTCATCTGTCTGATGTATGTGAGCCATTGCGTTGGCTGACCAATAAAGATGTGCTGTGTGCGTGGCTTCCTCAACATGATGCTGCATTGGAGCAAATCAAGAAATTGGTAAGCAACCAACCAATACTGAAGTACTATGACCTCTCTGAGGAAGTGACCCTACAATGTGACGCAAGTGACAAAGGCCTAGAGGCAGCAGAAGGGGCAGCCCATTGCACTCGCTTCAAGGACATTGACACCCACAGAGCAAGGATATGCCCAAATTGAAAAGGAGTGCCTAGCCATTGTGTTCGCCTGTGACCGTTTTGATCAATACCTTCATGGTAGGGACTTTATCACGGTGCACACTGATCACAAGTCGCTTGAGGTTATCTTCAGAAAACATTTTCTGTCTGCCCCGAAGCGACTACAAAGGATGATGCTAAAGCTTCAGCGTTATCAACTACAGGTAGTATACAAGAAAGGAATAGAGCTTCACATTTCTTGTCTAGGGCTGGCCAGACACAAGAAAGAGTACGCCCATCCTGGTGAGGGAAAGAGTACGCCCATCCTGGTGAGGGAAAGAGTATGCCCATCCTGGTGAGGGAAAGAGTACGCCCATCCTGGAAGAGGTCGTCTACAAAGGCGACAGGGTGGTTGTGCTAGAAAGTCTACGCCCAATGATTCTTGTATCCATGCAGGGCACTCAGGGTTCGAAGCTAGTCTCAGGAAAGCCAGAGACTCAGTATTCTGGCCCAACATGTACCCAAGAAATCAAACATTTTGTGGCTGTGTGCAGCATATGTAATGCTAATCTACCTAAGCAGCAAAAGAAAATGCTGCAGCCACATGACATACCAGCATGTCCTTGGTCTAAAGTGGGAATGGATCTGTTCACAGTCAAGAATGTTCCTTTTCGGGGCCTCCCGAGTGGCACAACGGTCTAAGGCACTGCATCGCAGTGCTTGAGGCGTCACTACAGACCTGGGTTCAATCCCGGGCTGTGTCGCAGCCTATCATGCTCTTGTGACTCCTGTGGCAGGCCGGGCGCATGCATGCTGACACGGTCGCCAGTTGTATTTTGTTTCCTCAGACACATTGGTGCTTCCGGGTTAAGCGACAGTGTGTCAAGAAGCAGTGCGGCTCGTGTTTCAGAGGTTGCATGGCTCTCGACCTTCGCTTCTCCCGAGTCCGTACGGGAGTTGCAGCGATGGGACAAGATGGTAACTACCAATTGGGGAGAAAAAGGGGTAAAAAATAAATGAAAGAACATTCCTTTTCTGATTATAGTGGACTACTATTCAGATTTTTGGGAGGTGGAGAAAGTGATTGACACAACAGCCGACTGTTGTAAGCAGCAGTTTAGCAGATATGGCATACCTGACAGTGGTGTAGTTACGGATAATGGGCCCTAGTTCACGAGTCAAGACTTGGGAGTTCCATCATGTGACCTCCTCACCCTACCACAGTCAGAGTAATGGTAAGGTGGAGTCAGCAGTGAAAATAGCAAAGACTCTCATCACAAAGGCTATGCAGGAAGGCACAGATGTGTGGAAAGCCATTTTGGCGTGGAGAAATACTCCCACAGAGGTCTTCAGCAGCAGTCCTGTACAGCGCTTAATGTATAGACGCACTCGCTCTCTGTTGCCAACAACTCCCAAGCTCCTCACACCAAAGGTCATTAGGGATGTTCAGGCACACAAGCGTGCATTTCAGGACAATTCAAAACCTTACTATGACCAGCATGCAAAAAAATCTGCCTGTAATAAAACAAGGCCAAGCTGTCAGAGTGCTCCTGGCACCTCAAGCCAGGGATGCCACATGGAGTCTTGGCACATGCATAGGGCACATCAGCACAAGGTCCTATGAGCATAGGGCACAGGAGGGCCACATAGGAAGAATATCCTCTGGATGGTGTGTGCAGGACACATAATGAGGAGACGGGGAAGACCCCACCAGGTCAGTTATCTCTGCCGACCGTGCCTCCACAATTTCAGGAGGATGTGGAAGAGGAAGGAGAGGCCCTGAGGCTCCCAGAGGTGCCAGGAGAAGCCCTGAGACTCCCAGAGGTGCCAGGAGAAGCCCTGAGGCTCCCAGAGGTGCCAGGAGAAGCCCTGAGGATCCCAGAGGTGCCCAACGTACCACTGCGCCACACTAGGACAAGGGCTAACATAAGACCGCCCCTGCGGTACTGGGACTACATCCCTTAAGAGATGGACAATAAAAATAAAAATAAAAATGAGAACAAAATAAGAAAGGAAAAAGGTGTTGATAATGTAAATTGGTATTTTCACTGTGGTATTAAAATGGTATGAAGTGCTCGAGCTAATTCTATATGAAAAGGAAGATGTTGAGATAATGGGCATAATGCCAACCCAGAGATGGCGCTAGTGGGGCGCCTATCTAGGGTAGATAAATAGGTGCATTATGAGTGTCTGATTAGAATGTCGTGACCTGTAACACCTGAGTAAAGGATTACGCTTGCATCTTATCTAGCTCTCCGACGTGAGTTATTCACATACACATATTAACACCAATGTTATTGGATTTTTGTGAGGATTCAAGATCTAAGTTAATAAGGCCATTCCGGTGCACATCCAAGTGCTATCCACCCTCGGGTGTTTGGCAACGGGAGCTTGCGGATCGGCATCTCACAGCCCTCGATGAGCCAATGTTTTGGATGCAATCATCAGCAAAACGTACAGTAACGCATACAATTTCCATACACCATCGCACAACAGGTTGAAGTCAAGAGGGGTTTCTTTGCCATGATGCCATCAATGGGTTCCCAAATATGAACGGGTCAATAAAAGGCACACATATTGGCATAAAATCACCATCCCAAAACGATTTCAACTATGTGAACAGAAAAGGCTTCCACTCTTTATGTGCATATGACGCGCAAAATATGCTGCTGATGGGGTGGCTAGGTGGAACGCACAGCACACCTCGTTCATTCTGCAGAACAGCATTGTTGGCCTATACGCCTACAGGAGGGAGCTGTTGAGGATGGATGGCTTATTGGTGAGTGTTGCCTACTAATTTTAAGTTTATTTGCCATTGCTAAAGCAACTTGAGTTGTTTCTGTCCTAATGGTCCTCTCGTTGTAGATACATTTTTATTTTTACTGGTGAAGCCACAACTGAGCGAGCCAAAAAAAAAACGTTTTGGTTGTCCTCATCTCTGACACTAGCACCTCTATTTCAGTGTCTGAAAAGTTTCTCTCATTTTTTCCCTTTGTTTCATGGTATGGCGTTGTATTTTCCCCCACGGACTTTAAAGGGATGATTTTGACCATATATGGTTAATTAGGGGCGTTTCGAAATGCAAACAGCCAAGGTCGTGCACGAGCGCTGAGAACGATTGGTATTTATCAATGGTTATCTCCTACTGGTGTGCTTATGACGCTCGTAGGATTGTTAGATAAATCACTTTTTCCTATGCGTACGAACATTCTAAATTCCGTTTGAGTTTTTTCTTCAAAAAGCTTTAACATTAAAAGGGCATTATCATTTTCACAATTTCAGCGTTATTGCGACCTCAGTGTGGAATATCACGTTGAAGGCACTCCTTTAAATAAATAACTTTTCTGGAGGACTGCTCTGCTCAGTGTAAAGTGTGTAGGCCTACATTTGAGACCAGAATGGCAGAAGAGCAGTTTGTTTAGATAAAGACCAAGAAAACAGAACAGGCAGCTAGGTCTGGACAGTGTCAGTTTCCTCTCACTCCATATCCACCATCTCTTACATAACCCTGAACTGGATGCCTATTCACACTCAGCTTGCATTCCTTAGGACCACAATCCTCTTTGGCATTAGTTTTCTGTTCTCAGATCTTACAGTGTGGAGTATGGGCTGGACGCTGCTTATCCTTCTGGTTGTTCTGATCGTGGTCCAGGGGAACCCGACCGTGACTGTCAGAACTGGGTCAGGACCACCAGTGGGGTCCGATCAACACCCAAACAGTGTTCCTCTGGGCGAGGACACACAGACCACTACAGAGGTGAGTGAGCTACAAACCCCTACAATCCTCTACTCAGAGAAGAGTTACGTCAGCATAGATTCAGGAGACTTGCGGTATAGGCCTCCATAACATGGAGAACGAGTCTCCAGTTTGTTTTGCATGAAAATACTGCGTTGACTTAACTTTGTCCAGCTTCTTGCTGTGATGTACATTAGATAGTATTTCACAAAAGAGTTGTGCTTTCCTGTCGAATCCAGATTAGATCAAATTCAGGCAACCTAAAATTAACACATCAACCACATAACCATCTGCTAAGTAAAGGAAGGGACAATGTCAGCCTGGTGAAATGATGTATTATATCAATCTTATTTAATCATCATTACAACATATGCTGTACATAGTACAAAACCAGTTAATATACATGCCCAAGTTTAAAGTCCAAACTTTGAGCTTGCCTCAAGTCGTCATAAAAACTGCTAGGCTGTGGGACAAGGCTGTTTGCTGGAGAGAAGAGGCCGAATGGAAATAAAGTCAGTAATAAATAGATACTTTAGGACAGTGTGGGGAAAAACGAGAGGGTGAATCAAGGGAATTCACTTGGTCATCTCTGTCTGATCATTTGTAGCATTTTGAATGCACATACGATATAATACACCCACCTTGGTAAGGCAGAGCCCAGTATGTTTACAGTTGATTGAGCACTGTATGTTTGTGTGTGTTTGTCGAGCATTCCATTGTAGTACTGTAATGTGTTTACAATTCAGTGATTGTGTGTGTTGTTCACGCTCAGTTCTTCCACTTCCCCTTCTTGGCAGGCAGCTGTCCCGTTGACTCCAGGTATTTGTTGATGAGCTCCTCCTGAGTGCCTGGCAGACAGGGCTGGTATCTGCTGTACTCCATGGTGTACTCTCCTTTCCCCTGGACACAACACACATATACCCACACATCAGTTCTCTAGAAAGGATCATGGACTGAGAAATTACTTTGGTCCAAAGAAATTAACAGAAAAAATGAGCAAATGCAAACTCAATTCAATATCATTGAAAATGTATGGCTTGATATCCTGGACTTTTTTTTAATGACTAATTGACGTCTTGACATCCGACTAGAGCAGCCATTGCCTTACCTCTGTACAGGACCGGAGCTCTGTGGCGTAGCCAAACATGTCATTCAGTGGAATCTGGGTAGAGGAAATGGAGATTAACCATCAAATACACAGTGACTGGACAGACATTTAACCTATCCTGTCTTTGCAGAAAGAAAAAGGCATAGGAAGTATGAATAGGACAGAGCTGCACTCACATCAGCATACAACGTAAAGTAGCCCTCCGCCCCATCCTGCCCACTGATAACGCCATGGCGACGGTTGACCCCGGCTATGACTGTCCCTTGGAACTCATCGGGCGCCACAATTTCTACTGACATGATTGGCTCCAGCACGGCAACGTTGGCCTTCTCCATGGCTACCAAGAGAGGGACATGGATGGAAGGAGACAATCAGTAGGTTTGTCAAAAAGCTGAGAAGCACGGAAAAGTTATACAGAGAGAAAAATATGCGAGAACAATGGGGGGTGTATTCTGGTTGGTTGACACCCACCTTGTTTAAGAGCGCCCTCCCCTGCACGGATGAAGGAGATCTCATTCGAGTCCACCATGTGATGTGCTCCGTCTTCCAATAGGAACTTGACGCCTGAGATCTTGTGACCAGTCAGAGGGCCTTTCTCACACGCCTCTCTGAATCCCTGCAGGAGAGAGGGAGGAGATGGAGAAAGAGTGACGTGGGCAAACTACGACCCGCAGGCCCGTTCAATCCGGCCAACGGGGTGTTTGAGAAAAAAAAAATATATATATATAGAAATTATAATGGACCTATATATTTTCAAATTAATGCACTTTTTGTAGCCCACAAATTGATTTTGACAAACTAATCGGTCAAAATAAAAATATGTGCAGTCCTTTGTTGAATTTTGAAATCCCGATGTGGCCCTCAGGTCCACCCTTGGGGTATGAGATAAGAGGTCTACTAGAATTTATATCTGAATAAGATACAGGATTTTTAAAATCGTAATTACACTTACTCAAAGGCCTATGTGTTTTTCAGACTACAGCCAGGCATGCATACCTTCTCAACAGCCGGCACAAACTGTTTAGGGATGTTGGTTCCGACAGTCTGGTCTTCAAACTCCACTTTTGTGTAGTTTTCTTGGTCCAAAGGCTCAAGAACTCCTATCACTTTACCGTACTGCCCAGAACCACCAGACTGCTTCTTATGGGTGAAGTCAAACCTGCAGAGACATGCACATAGCCAACATCAGTAACTAATTCAGAGAATTTTCATTAAAGCATTGCTAGGTAAAGAACTGCCATAGTTCAATACCGAAACAATCAATACTCACATTAACATAGACAAAGTAGCTGTATGGTCATTTGCCATGCTTTTATGTTACAGTAAAGAGAGGAGAGGGGAAATGTGTGGCCTGTCCCTTTAAAAAGGGGCAGTCCTAACTGAATTCCTGGCTTGGGCGGAAGCAGGAAGTTGTTTCTCCCCCTGCATGTGGCTGCACTTCCAGCTGTCTGAGTGTCTAACCGCAAAAGCCTCTCAACAGGCAGGTAGTTAGACTTTCCAGGCACAGGCAAGAACACTGTTTCCTCCCTCTGACACTTCTACCCTCCCCTTACTCACTAAATGTCTCTATTCTCTCCCTTTCTCCTTATCTAGAACTAGGGCAGGACACTACTTCCTCCACCCTGCCCCCGCACACACAGAGGTCAAAGTCCCATCAGAGCAGACGGACTCTCCCTACCTGTCCTCACCGCCCTCTTTTCTCTCTCACTCATTCCCCCTGTTTGCTCTCATTCCTCTTCTCTCCGGCGGATTAGGGGGAAAGCGAGGTGGTGGAGAAAGTGATGACGACTGGCATGCTGAACCCAAGTCACTACCCTGCCCGTCGGGCAGCCACGGTGGTCCAACACTACCTGAACACCCGCTACGGCTCACCCTACAGGTGGATCTTTCTCAGCAAAGTACATAGCGGCAGCGCAGAGGTAAGAGTGGAGATAGAGGATCAGCACACTTTGGGGAGTGTGTTGGGCGGGGGCAGTTAATATTACAAGGCAAGGAAGGAAAGATCCTTGAAGGGGATGGATATGGGAGGTCCGTGCGGATAAAAAGTCAATTCTCAATAATGCATACAGTGGGGGCTTGTGAGGGGGCGACGGCTTTATGGAACATAGTTCTGTTTACTTACACTTGTCTTAAGTGGTTCATTTCTGCTCTCTCTCCCTGACTGTCAGGATGTGGCAGAGATGGGGAGGAAGTATCAACTGGAGCTTACCATGCAGGAGATGATCAGTAACGTAAGATCCGATTCACATTGTCAGTGACTCACTATCGCACAGAACAGCTGTATGAATAAATACAAGGTGTGTTCAGTAACCATGGCTACACTGCCATGGTGATAAATACGCCTGTGTTAGAGCAACAACCTATTTTCCTTCTCTTATTTTTCCTCTCCCGTATCTTCCCCTAACATACCGCTACTTTCCTTTCCCCAACTCTCCTTTCATATTTTCACTTTCTTCTCCCCACCTCAACCCTCACCCTTTCCTCTCCCTATAAAGGTTTCGGGGCAGTGCTCTGCGGAGCTCCTCTTTCCAGGGGGAGAGGGGCAGAGTGCTCCCCAGGTCCAGGCCTCCTGTGAGGGACTGCTTCAAAGTAACACCACGGCTCAGGAAGAGGCCTTCTACCAGCAACACAGAGCCAGCAATAACCTGGTGTCAGGAAACAATATACCAGGTAGATATAGAGCTATAAATACACACACACACACACACAACTCAGTCAGCCATGGTATAATGTCCAAACATGTCCACTGAAATCACCATCTCTTTGTTCAGACTGTGGTCCCTTTTGTGGTCTAACTGACCCCATCTCTCTTCTGACCGTGATGTTTCTTTGACAGACAGCTACGGTCACATGGAGACCAGCATGAAACCCTTCTGGCAACTGGCGGGCGTGGCCTCCAGTTTTATCATGCTGAGGGAGTCCAATGAGAGCACGCTGTACAACATGGCCCAGGTGGCCAACTTCACACAGTTGGTGAGCAGTAAAAGAGAGACGTCGAGTGCCTGCCCGACTAGATGCGCAGGCGTTGCATCAACCAATGGTTGCGTGCTACGTCATCAACTGTGCAGTCGGGCACCAGATTGCTATATCATATGTGGTTAGCTGATATGTTAAATACCTATCCAGGCGTGGTATGATCTGGTCTGCGATGTAGTCGGACAGTAACTTGAGAAGAACCTCAGTGTAACCATGGAGATATGTGCCCAATTCCAAATTGACACCTAACTCCCCACCCACACACTTTCAATCCGTCCTTCTCACACACATGGTCCCTGGTTCTGTCTGTCCCTCAACAGGAGACTGAGAATGACCAGCTGAGGTTCAACTACCATGTCCTGCTGCATGAAATGATTTCCCAGGTAACGAAAACATTCTGCCATCTGTCTTAACATAACTCAGACGTCATGTTTATTATTATAAAGGTACATTCTTGTGTGTACGTGCAGGAGATCATCCACTGGAAGCTGCTATTCACCTGGTCCCCAGAACAGGGAGTTAAAGTCCTGCAGACTGAGCTGCAGCCAAAGTGCAACCACTGTGAGGCTCCTCCGAACACCACCAACTGAGATACACACACAGAGAAATACTTACACAAGTACTACAGAGAAGAGTATAGCACATCTTTCTTAGGACTTGAATGAAAGGGTAAAGCCATTTTCTACCTGATTTTGAAAAGCTGAGCTTTACACATCACACTTGTCTTAGCTTTAGTAATTATGTTTACCTTCACCACTACTGCTTCAGAGGAGAGGATAGGGCACATGTCAATGGCCTTACTGCAGCTATGCCAATGCACTGCTTTTACTGTGTCAGCTTGTAAGACTCTTGGTAAGATATAACAATGTGTTTGTAAAAACCTTTTGTTAATATACTCTATTGATGATGTGAAGGGGTCCAATAAAGCCATCACTGTATACAATGTAATGCTTCTGAGAGTGGTTCAGTTGGACATCATTGCTGTGTGTGTGTGTGTGTGTGTGTGTTAGGAGTGGTACTTACGGTACCGCACTGGTCACGCTCTCCCTGAAGGCTACCTTGGGCTTTCCCATCACACAGGGGCAGTTATACTCCCTCTCCATCCTCTACAGAAAGACAACGAGAAAGTAAGGTCAGCTTGATTCACTGCACCGAAATGCCATTAAAGATTCTAGATGTTTGGAACTCTAATACATTATATCAGCCTTCAAGACAACTTAGGACACTGTAAAAATAAGATGAAGCCAAAACACAAACGCTGCAGACAGAAGGATCTTCAGATCTCCGGAGAGCAGAGCACTAGACTAGTACCTGTGAGTAGATCTCCAGGTGCAGCTCTCCCATACCAGAGATGATAGTCTCCTTGCTTTCTGTGTCAAAGTGGACCCTGAACGTGGGGTCTTCTCTGGTGAAGCGGTTGATGCCTTTAGAGAACTTATCCATGTCATTCTAATCCACAGGAAGAGGGAGGATGAGGTCATACATGCTTATATTCACTACTGAAATAGTATCAAGTCTTATATAGTCATTTAGACTCCTCATACTACATAGAATGTGAGAGGGCCCACCTTGTTGGACGGCTTCATAGACATGGAGATGACAGCCTCTGGTATGTGGATGGACTCCTGTGGGAGAAACATGTTGAATGAAGCTCAAGGTCATAACATTATGTACACAGGCAGTGCACAACAGATTGCATCTTTAAATACACGTTAGTGAGTGCTGACTGGTTGTTTATCTAGTCTGGACAATGGCCATAGGCATGTACCATGGAGAGGTTGGCGCTGGTCCGGGAGGTGAAGGTGTCTCCGCTGGCACAGTCGATCCCAAATAGGGCACAGATGTCTCCTGCATACACCTCCTCCACATCCTGACCAACCGGAGGGAGGGAGGGACACAATTTATGATAGCACGAAAATAAGATTGTTTCAGTTCTACAAATGTATAGATAAAGTTGTTTGTAATCATGAGATGTTATCACTAGGGTAAGTCCGGTTGGGGAATCAGGGTCGTTGTGCCATGTCGTAGAAACAAACAAAAAACAAAATGGGGAACATTACCGTTCTAACCAATCACAGTGCTGTGCTTTTCATAGTACTGAAACTGTCAGTTTATTCCATTTACATTCACTTCCTGGTTCTCACCTCCATCTGGTCAGCATGGAGACGCACTAGCCTCTGCACGCGGACCTTCTTGCCTGTGCGTGTGTTGATGATGTACTCAGTCTTCTTCAGACAGCCCTGGTACACACGCACGTACGTCAGCTGACCAAACCGACCTGCCTAGAACAGAGTAAGGGGGAGAGATAAATACATCTACAATCCCTATATAGTTTATCATACAAAAAAAGTTTATACAGTAAATGTGCAAGATTACTTGTTGAAGAGAAGATGGTTTGCTACACAGTGTTTGTGTGCTGTGCTCACCTCCAGTTTGAAGGCCAGGCCAACGAAGGGCTGCGAGGCGTCTCTGGTGGGATCCATCAGGATCTTATTGCTGTCACTGGACTCCCTGACACAGAGGAAACAACACAAGCACAGTGGTGAGATCTTCCATTGACATTGTTCAAGTTTGTCCCCGAGCCTATACTCTGTCCTGATATTGGCATATCAATTCATTAAAACACGGCTGTGTCATATTGAATGGTGTAACCGTCTAGGCACATAGGTCATACTCACTCATCGTTGAAGAGGGCATAGTTGTTGACCTCTGTGGGGTTGGGCAGATAATCCAGCACTGCGTTCAATAGTGGCTGGACCCCTTTGTTCTTCAGGGCAGTTCCCACCAGCACGGGGCTGAAGAGGCGCTGCACTGTGGCCCTGCGTATGGCTGCCTGTGGGAGGAGAGACGGGAGAGGTCAGGGCCCAGGGGGCAGAGTTCACAGGTCATAGCAGAAAATATGACTGATGCAGAAGATCAAATTACAGAATTTGTTGCGATATCCCAAGACATAATGAACAGTCACACACACCTTGAGTTCTGGCAAGGTGGGGATCCTCTCCTCCAGAAACATCTCTCCCAGTGTCTCGTCAGCGTTAGCCACACACTCCACCAGCTCCTGTCTCCTGTCTGCAGCCTCCACACGGAACTCTGCCGGGATCTCATCCAACCGGATATTCTGTCTGCAGGAAGCACAGAGGATGTCATTTTTTAAATATTTTTTTCTTCCAGTAAGAGGGTTTCCAGCTATGGAAATATTTCAGATCTGGATAGTAATGTAAGTAATCTCTAAATCCCTGCCATGATCACACATTCTCCATTCTCTTACCCGAATGGGCCCTCGAAGTACATGCTGCGCTCCTCTATGAGGTCTATGATGCCCTTCATGTTCCCCTCCAGACCGATGGGGATGTTCACAAAGGCTGCGTTGTGGTTCAGCTTGGTCCTGAAAGAGGGAACACAGGAGGAGTCAGAACACAGAGCTAATGAAAAACCAGACTAGTCTATCTGTCTACTCTTCAGTATCTTATATCTGCTGACCTCATGGCCTGCAGGGCGCGGTTGGGGTTGGCTCCCATGCGGTCCAGCTTGTTGATGAAGGTGAGGAAGGGAACATTGTAGCGTTTCATCTGTCTGTTGACGGTCAGGGTCTGGCACTGGACCCCTCCAACCGCACATAGGACCAGGATCGCCCCGTCCAAAACACGCAGGGCTCGCTCCACCTCGATGGTGAAGTCTACATGGCCTGGACAGGACAGAGAGGAGGAAACTGGGGCTAAAGTTAAAAGCAAAAATACATCCTAAGTTCATCAGCTGTTGGGTACACTAGTATCGATCTGTGACTGTGACTTATGGTATATCCGTCAAAAAAAGAACCTGGTCATAAGATCTGTGTTGCCACTAACGCAAATCTTTCTGCCAGGTACCTCCATACCTGGGGTGTCGATGATGTTGATGTTGTAATCCTTATAGACGGTGTATGTGGCAGCTGACTGGATGGTGATGCCTCTCTGCCTCTCCAGCTCCATCGAGTCCATGGTGGCCCCGACTCCATCCTTTCCCTTTACCTATAGGGTTAGAGGAACCACAGTGTGTATACAGTACATTAAAATAAACACAATAGTTTTAGTCTGTCTCCCTCCCTCTAAAACGCAGGCAGGCAGGCAGGCGCGCGCACACACACACACACACACACACACACACACACACACACACACACACACACACACACACACACACACACACACACACACACACACACACACACACACACACACACACACACACACACACACACACACACACACACACACACACTTCAATATATCAGAGCCAGTTTATGATCATGATTAACTCACCTCATGGATCTCTGCTATTCTGCCCGTGTAGAAGAGGACGCGCTCGGTGAGTGTGGTCTTCCCCGAGTCGATGTGCGCCGAGATTCCGATGTTGCGGATTCTTTCATTGGGAACGATACCAGAGGAGCACGACCGAGAACTGTTCATCAATACCTATAAATAAAATAAAAAACAGACAGCTTTCAGATAAGCTTTCTATTATTAGTTAACGTTATACAACGCAAGACAGGACAGCCAGTGGTTAGCTAACTAGTGTGTCCATTTCCATCCCTTCTCACCTGTGCTATTCTCAACATCTTGTGGTCTTTTTTTCTTACCTTTTTGAATGTTAGTGTTCCCGTTTTCCTTAAATGTATTTGACCTAAGGTTAGCCCTGCTTTTAGAAGTCGCATTTTGGTGGTGGACAGGACGGGTTTAGCTCCGTTTACACAACCCCCCACTGGATGTCAGTCAACCCGTGAAAGTCACGGCACCGCACGCCGGTTCGTTGTGAAACATTACTTCCTGGACTACGGCAAGTCTGAAGTCAAATTTGCATTTCAACAAATCCGCTTTGCCAAGCTCAACAGTGACGAACATTGGCAAGGCGGACAAACGTGTGCTAGTTCATCCCCCCATACTGGGTTATTCTGTGGCGTCTGCTTGGTTGCTAAATGTATCTCACCATCAGTGATGTGTGTTAATCTCTGCAATTTCCTCCATACGCAGCAATGACCAGTTTCCCTAAAAGGACATTGTATTTCACCTAACATCCCTATCCGTGAGTGTGTGTCAACGCAGCACAGTGTTGTCATCATCCTTATCAAATAAAATACAATTGTATTTCTCACATGCGCCGAAATGCTTACTTACAAGCCCTTAACCAACAATGCAGTTTTAAGAAAATAGAGTTAAGAAAATGTTTACTAAATAAACTAAAGTAAAAAATGTAATATAAAAAGTAATACAATAACAATAATGAGGCTATATACAGGGGGTACCGGTACAGCAGGTCACATTGCAACACACAGTTGATCCATATGTCAAACACCAGCCCAAGAGGCTTGTAGGAAGTCATCAAAAAGGCGGTGACTTTGTCCGCTGCTACAGAATCACAGTGTTCACAAAATGTAATCAATGCAACAGTGAATAATCAGTGTGTCCTTGGTCCTTGGACCTCCAGTCTGGCGTCAATCACTATCAACAGATATGAGAATAATCCATAACATTTAGCATCAAGTCTAGTGACCATCAATCCGCACCTTGAGTATCACAAACAGAACACTGGAAATTGTGTATTACAGAAACTCAAAATATGCTAAACATTGTGTTAAACTAAACATGAACTTTAGTCATATAACATTTCCCCATTACAATGTGTGGTGAAAGACTAAATTACATTTGTCCTGCCTTTTTCTGTTATGCTCATTTTTCTTGGTGATTAAGACACATCAGTGTTACAAGGTCAAATTCAGAGTCACAAACTAGAAACGGAACTGACTCATTTCCAATGTCCTAGATTCTCTCTATTCTGTAGGGCAGGGATGGGCAACTGGTGGCCCACGGCCCCCCCTTTGTAGGCCCGCAGAACAATAACAAATTAAAATAAACACTTTTTGGGGAGGGGCGGGGGGACTCAGTCGGGGTCTCAACTTACTGTTGAGAGTTAGAGTAATAGAATACACAAGGTGCAATTTCAAAATTCGGTTGTGGATCAGCAGTCACTTAATTAGCCCATGTCATCTAAATCTTTTTAGATTGGTAAGGTAGTCTAGCGGCCAGCTATCTAAACTTGTAGTAAGCATGGTCGAATTACCGACTGGGGTGGGGCCCATTGATCATCAGTTATCATATTAAAAACGGCAAACATTTACCTCCAACCTATTGCAAAATGTGTAGAATTGCAGGAAAGTGGTTATAAAACTGAAAAAATCACCCGGACAGCTGATGAAACTGTGGCTTTGCACAACCGAATAATTTCTGCACCAACTGTCAGAAACCGTCTCAGGGAATCTCATTTGTGTGCTCGTTGTCCTCACCAGGGTCTTGACCTGACTGCAGTTCGGCGTCGTAACCGACTTCAGTGGACAAATCCTCACCTTCGATGGCCACTGGTACGCTGAAGAAATGTGCTCTTCACAGATGAATCCCGGTTTCAACAGTACCAGGCAGATGGCAGACAGCTTGTATGGCGTCAAGTGGGCGAGCGGTTTGCTGATGTCAACGTTGTGAACAGAGTGCTCCATGGTGGCGGTATGGGCAGGCATAAACTACGGACAACAAACACAATTGCATTTTATTGATGGCAATTTTAATGCACAGAGATACTGTGACGAGATCCTGAGGCCCATTGTCATGCCATTCATCCACCACCATCACCTCATGTTTCAGCATGATAATGCACAGCCCCATGTCGCAAGGATCTGTACACAATTCCTGGAAGCTGACAATGTCCCAGTTCTTTCATGGCCTGCATACTCACCAGACATGTCACCCATTGAGCATGTTTGGGATGCTCTGGATTGACGTGTACAACAACGTGTTCCAGTTCCCGCCAATATCCAGCAACTTCGCACAGCCATTGAAGAGGAATGGAACAACATTCCACAGGCCACAATCAACAGCCTGATCAACTCTATGCGAAGGAGATGTGTCATGCTGCATGAGGCAAATGGTGGTCACACCAGATACTGACTGATTTTCTGATCCAAGGTATAAGGTATCTGTGACCAACATATGCATATCTGTATTCCCACTCTTGTGGGAATACAGATAATCTATCTGTCCGTAGATTAGGGCCTAATGAATTTATTTCAGTTGACTGATTTCCTTCTATGAACTGTAACTCAGTAAAATCTTTGAAATTGTTGCGTTCATATTTTTGTTCAGTGTAGATATAATGACGAGATGCTTGTGTCACCGCCCTAACAATGGGATCCGTTGTCCACAGAGCGGAACGGCGGCCTGTCAAGATCCCGCCTATTCCTCTCTTTAGATTGGTGGATACATCTCCTTATTTTAAAACTTTTTTAAATATTCGATGAGGAGTGTTAATGTCAACCGCCTGTATTCAATGGAGAGTGAGATGCATAGATCGTTTAACATTTCAACAGGGACAACGCCGATACAAAGTGTTTTTGCTCAAAGTTGCCGGGATATGTGTCACACACATCACACTTATATCAGTACACTCGTAACAACCTAAGCATTACGAAACTTCTACTAGATCAAATAAGCCTTAGGTATCAAAATAGCAATATATTTTTATATCTTGACTGCATTCGACACTCTCATTGCCCCCCATACAAAAACTCCTCACTTGCCTCATAATGTGGTCCTCTGTAGCTCAATTGGTAGAGCATGGCGCTTGTAACGCCAGGGTAGTGGGTTTGATCCCCGGGACCACCCATACGTTAAAATGTATGCACACATGACTGTAAGTCGCTTTGGATAAAAGCGTCTGCTAAATGGCATATTATTATAATGAATGATCTGCTTAATGTGGACAGATTTTGGGAGGAGTAAACCCTCTCACTTCGCCTCTTCCTCTCTGCTTTAGGAAGGCCTAGACCAGAGTGGTATACTATGAAGCAAGCTAGATCTACTCAGGGTTTTCTAAAGTTAGCCAGCTTAAATTAGCTTCACATTCCAGCTCACGCTTCATCTGTCCTATAGTGGAGGATATTGCTCATCCACCTGGCGCTTACTCTAGCAGGCTTGTAACTTCGCGTGCTGAAACAATGCTGAAACATCAATCCAGTGCCCAGTGCCACATTTTAATTTGTGCCGAAATCTAAATGAAAGACAAGTTTAGGTAAATTTAGCAATGGTGTGAAATAGGCTTTTAGAAGTGCAGTCTTTATTTTATTACTAATAGTTAATGCCGTCTTCGGTGTACTTTGGTGTGCTTATCAGTGCAAGAGCACCTTTTCCCCCCACTCCTATCAATAAAATAATTGAATTTCCATACAGAAGTTCTACTGTGTGTGAAGGTTCAAATGCATTGTCATATTTAAATGTGTAATGTGATAGGTATTTTAACATTTAAAAAAAGGTTTTACACACAAAAAAACATTTGATTAATAAAATATTGAATCAGTCATCTTCCTCAAATGAAGGGAATGATGACGCAATCTTTGCGAGAGGGAGGGAATCTGATTTCATTGGTCCTCAACTTGTGGCTCAGACTCTTCATTCAGGATAAATCGAGTTAGCCTGCCCTGGAGCAGGTTAGTTCTGAAGGATTCGTTGCCATAGAAATGTGCCTGGCTAAAAGGTGAGCCACTTTCGTGGTACTGGTTATCCCGAGTTGAACTCAAGAATTGACCAAAGTTATCTCAGTTAAAGGTTTTGCATGGTCAATCTGCCATTGTCGTGGATAATTATCACTATACTTGTTAACAATCAAAAGTTCTTCCAGAGTTTTTGTTGAATCAAGATAGACTTTTATTACACGAAGCAACGAAAGCCGAGCTGGTCCATGGAGTAGCTGCTTGCCATGACTCTCCTTTTATACAGACACAAATGCATAGTCAAGCTTATTCAACATACAGTGGGGGAAAAAAGTATTTAGTCAGTCACTTATTGTGCAAGTTCTCCCACTTAAAAAGATGAGAGGCCTGTAATTTTCATCATAGGTACACGTCAACTATGACAGACAAATTGAGAAAAAAATATCCAGAAAATCACATTGTAGGATTTTTAATAAATTTATTTGCAAATTATGGTGGAAAATAAGTATTTGGTCACCTACAAACAAGCAAGATTTCTGGCTCTCACAGACCTGTAACTTCTTCTTTAAGAGGCTCCTCTGTCCTCCACTCGTTACCTGTATTAATGGCACCTGTTTGAACTTGTTATCAGTATAAAAGACACCTGTCCACAACCTCAAACAGTCACACTCCAAACTCCACTATGGCCAAGACCAAAGAGCTGTCAAAGGACACCAGAAACAAAATTGTAGACCTGCACCAGGCTGGGAAGACTGAATCTGCAATAGGTAAGCAGCTTGGTTTGAAGAAATCAACTGTGGGAGCAATTATTAGGAAATGGAAGACATTCAAGACCACTGATAATCTCCCTCGATCTGGGGCTCCACGCAAGATCTCACCCCGTGGGGTCAAAATGATCACAAGAACGGTGAGCAAAAATCACAGAACCACACGGGGGGACCTAGTGAATGACCTGCAGAGAGCTGGGACCAAAGTAACAAAGCCTACCATCAGTAACACACTACGCCGCCAGGGACTCAAATCCTGCAGTGCCAGATGTGTCCCCCTGCTTAAGCCAGTACATGTCCAGGCCCGTCTGAAGATTGTTAGAGTGCATTTGGATGATCCAGAAGAGGATTGGGAGAATGTCATATGGTCAGATGAAACCAAAAATAGAACTTTTTGGTAAAAACTCAACTCGTCGTGTTTGGAGGACAAAGAATGCTGAGTTGCATCCAAAGAACACCATACCTACTGTGAAGCATGGGGGTGGAAACATCATGCTTTGGGGCTGTTTTTCTGCAAAGGGACCAGGACGACTGATCCGTGTAAAGGAAAGAATGAATGGGGCCATGTATCGTGAGATTTTGAGTGAAAACCTCCTTCCATCAGCAAGGGCATTGAAGATGAAACGTGGCTGGGTCTTTCAGCATGACAATGATCCCAAACACACCGCCCGGGCAACGAAGGAGTGGCTTCGTAAGAAGCATTTCAAGGTCCTGGAGTGGCCTAGCCAGTCTCCAGATCTCAACCCCATAGAAAATCTTTGGAGGGAGTTGAAAGTCTGTGTTGCCCAGCGACAGCCCCAAAACATCACTGCTCTAGAGGAGATCTGCATGGAGGAATGGGCCAAAATACCAGAAACAGTGTGTGAAAACCTTGTGAAGACTTACAGCAAACGTTTGACCTGTGTCATTGCCAACAAAGGGTATATAACAAAGTATTGAGAAACGTTTGTTATTGACCAAATACTTATTTTCCACCATAATTTGTAAATAAATTCATAAAAAATCCTACAATGTGATTTTCTGGATTTTCTTTTCTCATTTTGTCTGTCATAGTTGACGTGTACCTATGATGAAAATTACAGGCCTCTCATCTTTTTAAGTGGGAGAACTTGCACAATTGGTGGCTGACTAAATACTTTTTTCCCCCCACTGTACATAGTTACTCCTCTCTATGTAAATGAATAACATCTTTCAGTGTCACATGTTGGCTACTCACAAGGCTACGTGCATTTCTCTAAGTGAGGCTTCTGTCTCTTATTAGTGGCGTGACTCAAAAAATTATATACATACATACGTTAAAGAACAATCACACTCTGTATTGACTATATTCACTATCCAGACATGCATCTGGAGTACAAAGTATCAATCATGTTCATTCTGTTTTACCCTTATCCTTTCATTACACATTAATCCTTTCATTAAACATGGTTTAAACATGTCATCCGTAACCCATTCTCAACCACATATATTTAAGCATTTACCAACAGCCATCCTCCCTGGCCTTTGAGATTATGTGCATGTGGCTATGTGTCAGGTCATAAGCACAAACATGTGATAACACCAGTTCCATTGTTACTCCAATCTCCACACAGCTACCACGAGAAGTTTTATCTCCATCATATGTCATTGACATACCCAGATCAGCTGCAGGGAGTTATCAGAAGCACAGCGTTTGCACTAAAGAAATGTCTCTGCTCTGTTTTAACCCTTTAATTGGTTCTTAATCCATAAGCATTTAAGGCATATAGGTGTTTCATTCTACAACATATGTACTAGAAAATCATCCATACCATCTGTGGTGGCAGTACAGCATTTACTGCAATGTGGCTTCCACAGAAGTCAGAGCAAACATACTTTTTACTCCCAGAGCAGAGCTGTTGTGAAGGAAATTGTCAAGGAAGTGAGTTTGTGTTTATACAAGAACTCACGCACCCACTTATCGTCAACCAATTATGTCATTGTGGAGCTATACAGCTACACAATTTGAGAGGCACACACCGATGCTGGATGGAGCTTGATTTGGCCTCTACATGCCTCTGGAGTCTCCGCAATTGCATCACACCCTCCATGCGAATCCTGCGACCACATTTTCGGATCAAGCATAAATTGGCTTTAACTCTTCAACCCTGATTCGTAGCGTAGGGCTCTGTGCTCTGGCCTAAACCATCAATCTCAAGCCAAACAAAACAGACTTGAGGCAACAATCTCGAGGCAAGAAACATGAGCAAAGCAATGTTATTGGCCTCAAAAGGCACAATCAAATACATAAAAGCGTTCCTGTTTTACAACCAAATTGATTTGTGTTCTCCCTCCACCCAGACGCATACATTTCACTCTTATCTCTTTAATGAAAGCTAAATGGTGTACCTTATGACGTTGTTTGAAGTTGTTTATTGCAGTATGACATAGACAAGACCAAATGGAAAGCATTACACTAGCCTATATGAAGTGTTTTTGCAAAATGTTCTAAAACTGTTTTCATATTTTTTCTTGCAGATATGGAACATTCAAACATGTTCCTCTAGTTGTCATTCATCATTGGCAAGAATGAGTGGAGCACGTGACTCACGTGTTACTTTGTTTCAAATTGGAAACATCTTGGAAGGTGTGACTTGTGCGCTACTACTACAGTGTACAGAATGGGTCAAACGCGCTCTGGTCTCTCGTGCTCCACCACCGCTCCAGGCAAAGCGAAATGGAAACCAACTGAAACAGCCAAACGACTCCCTATCCGCAGATTTACCAGTGAGGAGCGAAGGGGTGACCGGTTTTACAGGAATCTAATAAAAACGAAGCAGTTGCCAGAGGTACGGCTGGTAATCGGATCTGGAAATTCGGAAACCCTTCGTTGTCACGGGCAAGGGAAGTTGTTGAGAGGCCAGATAGAGTCGAAGGTAGTGGACCACACCACCCCGGTCGCCGAATACCCATCTGGAATTCATTATGAAAAGATTCAGGCTCTCGATGGTGACGCTGTGAACAAGGGAGCGGCCGACTCGTCCTTCGATGCGACGGGCTTGGATACACGGGCCAGAGGATTCGACAGAACCGCCTGCGCAGTTACGCAGCGCAGCGGCCCAGAAACAACGGGAGAGGAGCATGTCCGGAATGCCCCGGCTAGGGCCATGGAAAACAAGCCATTCGGATTTGATAAACAGGGTGGGGTTGCCTCTGAGGTCAGGGCAGTATCGGGGGCTGTAGCAAGGGATGGTTCAGTCCATTGGCGCACATCTGGCGAGGAGAATTTAAGAGAGGCTCTGGCATCACTGACCTTGCGTTTGGACGAACCTCTGACAAGTGGCGTGTCAGAACCGATAGGGTATGATATACCCCACACAGAGGTAGAAATGACCAAATCTAACTTTCTCAGTGCTTCTTGTGACCCCGAAGCTGACAGGAAAAATGACCAAAACAGTTGTCCCGTTGAGTCGGGGAACCAGGAGGACCCCTCGACCAACTCTCCAAAACAGGTCCAAAGTCCACTAGGTAGCCAAAGTTTCCCCGGTACTATCCCAAAGCTTATTATAACCAGAGATCCAAGCCCCAGTTGGGCCAAGGAAACACTAGATCCAAGGACCATGGGACTCGGAGTCGGTGGATCATCGCTGGACCCACACGCCGATGATGAATCTCCCTGCTCGGACAGTGGCTGCGGAGGCTCCCCTGCGCTAATGCGCTTTCGCCGAAAGCTCTCCAACTCGTCCTCCGCCGGCTGCTTGTCCTCCGCCTCGTCCTTTGAGGAGTCGGAGGATGACTTCACCGGCAGCGACATCGAGTCCAGCCTGTCCCCAGTCATATGCAACACGCTGGGCAGCCCCGACGAAGGCATGGGGGTAAGTGTGCCATACTTTTATTTTTTACTGTGCGTAAAATGTGGTGGAGGTCTGCTGACTAGAGTGTTTTTCTTCTGTATGAAGTTGCATACAAAAACACACAGTAGTATTATGTTAAACTCCTTGGCTATAATCGGTCCTAAATGTTGGCTAGAAGTGCCGTAGATGGGCTCACACTTAAACACACATAGGCCTATTTACTTTCTGTACACAAATAGTGTTGCATACTCTCTATATAAACTCCCAGTAATTTATTGGGTAAATTCTCTTTATTTATTTGTATAGCTTGCAGTATATTCGCCATTAGTCTGCACCTCTACACAAAATAATGTATCTGGGTGTATGCCAGCTCATGCTTTTTATTAGACTACTTTCTGTACACACACACTTCCATGGTACAGTTGTAGCCTACTGTATGTTCTCATGCTATTGATATAAGGCAAAATATTTTTTCATTTATGCAGAAGAGATGCACTATGATTGAAATGATACCATAATGCGCAGAGCAGACATTCACTGATAATGCATGTTCCAGTACCACAACCCCATTGTTGTTTACTTACAGACTCCATGTCAATAGCACACACACACACACTCAAAAACACACCTTGGAGACTGAGGAATTAACAATTCTCGATGTCAGTGTTTGTGTCAGATCTACTCCTAGAAAACGTCTCTGTATCTCACTCACGTCACACACACAAAGCCGCCAAGCCCCTGTGCTCCTACCACAGGGTGTGTGGTGAATATTAGGTTAATGGCTGTGTCAAGGGTCAAATATTTCACCCTTGCCGCATATGTCGTTTTAGCCTGAAGGAGTTTGGAGTGCAATTGTATTTACCCATAGATCAGAAAGAATCTAACTGGTGTCCCCGCACATTGACTCTGTACCGGTACCCCCTGTATATAGCCTCTCTACTGTTATTTTATTTTACTGCTGCTCTTTAATTATTTGCTATTTTTTATTTTTTACTTATCTATTTTTGACTTAACACTTTTTTTTGTTCTTTCTTTTCTTAAAACTGCATTGTTGGTTAAGGGCTTGTAAGTAAGCATTTCACTGTAAGGTCTACTACACCTGTTGTATTCGGCGCATGTGGCAAATACAATTTTATTTGATCAGTTGGGTGTAAACAATATGATGGAACTCAGCTGGCCTATCAGAGGGCTAGGTGAACTTTTGGTGTCTCTTACATAATACACCTAAGCCAATAAATAGGGCCTTTATTGGTGATCGGTGAACCTTTGACTCCTGAGTGACTCTTTACCCATGACCCCAACCACTATGACCGTTAGCTATGATTGTCACTAATGAGCTTGGCTTGATAAACACGGGGTCATTTGCTGAAACCCAAGTTGTTCTTGTTTTGTCCAATGTATGATCCAGCTCTAACCTTTTTACAGTGGTAAATGATGATGTTTCCCTCCCCAGTCAGAGGCCTTTGATGCGCCCTGACCAGAAATGCTTTGAATGACATGAGCTCAAAAACAGGATGTCTTTCCTGGAAATGGACCAATTGAAACGCAGGCAAGCTCTCTTCCTGAACAGGAATGGTGTGAATCCTTGAAGTCACCACTGAGAGAGACTGTGTGGAAATACTAGAATTTCTACATGTTACATATCACCAACACACACATACTTTCTCTCTCTCCCTGTTACTTTCTGTCTCTCTCTGAGTGCAGAGTCAATGTTGTAATCAATGTGTCTTTGTTTCATGAGAGAAACTACTTCAGGAGAACATCTGTTCAGTCCTAATTTCTTCATGTCTAGTCTCTGAGATGGAGATGGTCTTCCAAATAATACATAATGACTGATCTATTTAGGTGACATTGATGTGTAAACTCACTCTCACATTGTGTGTGTGCTCCAGTGGGTTTCTATGCTGTGTGTGTGAGTCAATGTGTGGAGAGAGTGAGCCTTAAGAAAATGTACCCAAACATCCTGAATTCAGCACTTAGCCATAGCTCTCTCCCTTGCTCACGTTCATCCTACTTTGTCTTGCTCTCTCTTTTCCTCAGACATTTGCTTTATCTCTTGTCTTGCTCTCTCTTTCTTTATCTTCTGTGGGTCCAGATATTTCCATATCTGTGTATGTGTCATCCTTGTTAATGTATGAATGTAGTCTGGATGAAAGGGGGTATGTCAGCAGTTCCCATGTTATAGATCCCACGCTACTGTTATGATTGAATATCTGGAACATAGTGAAATACCAAGGAGTGAGTGACTGTACTGGGCATCCATTTTGGATCTAGCTGGTGTGATACGGTAGCACTGAGGGGAGTGTTGTGGTAATATTAGGGCCTTGGTTGTTATTGGCTTACCATATGCTTTCAAAGTGTGGCCAAACCAGTTGTTACACTTTGCTCAATGACGTACATAGTAGATACTTGCCTGCTCACACTATGCATATTCAGAGTTTAAGGCACGCACTCACACACTACACACTCTGCCATCTTGCATTCACAGCTCAGTGTGTCATGGAAAATTGGGCTGAAGGCAGTTGCGTTGCTAGGCGACCTCATTGCCAAATATGGTGCAGTTTCTATTTTTTTTTCATTTTCTCTCCCTCCCTCTCTCTCTCTGGTCTGTATTTTGAATGTAACGGCTTACATTTTTCAAATGACTTTTAACATTTTCATAGTCTCTCTTTCTGTCTGCATCATCCCTTCATTTCTCTGACACTATCTCCCCCCCCCCTGTTTAGCCTTGCAGCACGGCATAAGGTTTTCCCCTGATACACAGGCAGTGGAACAGAACGCAGAGGAAAATATAGATAAGTGGAGGAGTAGTGATAAAGTACTATCCCTACACACACACATGCACATACACTCTACAATATACCCCACAACACATACAGGCTCATACAGTGCATACAGCACATACTCCATGTGCACACACAAGAACCAACTCGAACACAAACTCACATTATGCAACTCACAATCGCAAAGTTGCCGTACTCAAACCTGCATACACATACAAACACTCACCCATACTTGTAAGTGTTCACAAAAGCATTAAAACACACATTTGTATCAGCCTTCTGTTTTTTATGTTAACTGGGTTGTGGTTGAGCTGTGCTGCTAATGCCAAAGAGAGCAGAAGGGAGGGGATTTGGTTTACATGTAAACCAGGCCTGAAAAATAATAATAATAATAATAATAATAATATGCCATTTAGCAGACGCTTTTATCCAAAGCGACTTACAGTCATGTGTGCATATATTTTTACGTATGGGTGGTCCCGGGCATCGAACCCACTACCATGGCGTTACAAGCGCCATGCTCTACCAATTGAGCTACAGAGGAGCAGCATCACACCTAAAAGTAAGACGTCCTCCAGCGATTTTTGAACTTTTCCTGTTGAAAAGCGATATCCCAAGATTTACTTAACAGAAGGCACATCTCAGTAGGTGGTCCAGGTAAGTAATGACATAGCACAAGTGTGTGTGTGTGGTTTTTTTCTTCCTCATTTGTTCTCTGTTGTTCCTCAAGCAAGGGGGAAGGCCATCAATCTGGCATCACAGATTCCGATCAGACCAACTTCTTGAATGGCCTACTCCTTGAAGTTTGCAGTTGTCAAAAAAAAAAAAACTATTTTGCGCAACATATTTTTTTTACCCTTTAGTGTGTGTACTTTACTGTATTTATACGTGGGATATCGCTTTTCAACAGTAAAAGTAAAATAAATTGTTGGATGTCTTTAAAGACAACAGCAGGGACCCACTGGTGTTGTGAGCACTAAAACAGGGAGTACCCCCTTTATAAATCAAAAGCTATTCATAACAGCTACATACCTGTGTTTGACTCTCGCTCTCACTCTCTGTCTCTCTTTCTCTCTGGGCTTACATACTGTATGTTTGAGGAATTTCTCAGAGGGACAAAGAGAAACAGGACAGCGGAGGAAGGGTTTAGAAGGAGCTATTGGGGAGTACTCTAGTGGATTTCAATTTTCTTTATTTAGTCAGGATAGTCCACTCAGTAACAATTGCCACTGTTTTCCAAGGAGTCCTGGGTTCCATAGAATCAATAAAAACGAGAGAGAGAGCAAAACTGTGCTTAGTGGTATTTAGAAATGTTATTTTCCTCCTCTGAATGTCTAATCTAGTAATTCACTTTGGCTCCAGCATGATGACTCCCACAAAACAGAATTGGCTACGTTAGGTAGATGTATTTAGCATCATAGTCACACACTTGTGCCTTTGCCCCACTATTGCTCTCTCTCTTTCTCTCTCTTTTCTGTCTGTCTGTCTCTGGATTTACATTAGTAAAACATGTGTGGATATTTCAATTTAGCTAACAGAGCAAAAATGCTGTCTGCTGGTATTAAGGTCCTTCTTGCAGGAACATGTGGTTGGGAAGAGCCATTCTCTTTACACTACTCAGGGGTATGTGGGGTAGATGTCTCCCACACTATCTCCAGAGCTATTGTAGGAGACATCTCTCGTAGAGAGATTTTGAATCGAGATCCCTCTTTACACTATAGAAGTATATTACCTGGGACTAGTATGTGTCGTCAAAGTAGTGTAGAGTAAAGAGGCCATTTCTCTCTGGGTATTACAGTCATGTTTGTCACTGGGGACTCTGGCTTTCTGAGGACACAGGCTCAGGACAGGCTGCTGGAGGGATTAGAGAGGGGGAGAGACTACTATAAGCAGATTGTGAGAGGAAGAGTGGAGGACTCTGAAATCGAAAGACAGTTGGTGTGAGAGAGGGGAAAGAAACTTGGAGAGGGAAAATTGACAGTGGGAGGCAGAGGTCATAATAAACCTGGGGAGAGGGAAGTGACATATTAGTGAGAGGAGGGAGAGTGACGAGTTAAAGAGCGAGCACGAGATGGGGAGGGAGGGAGAAGAGAACACCAGGGAGATAGAATATCAGGTAGGGAGACGGTGGTACAGTAAGAGAGGAGTGACAAAATGCTGCTGAGAGGACAGAGATGATGAGTTGGTGTTAAAGAGAAAGCAGAGAGAGAGAGAGAGAGAGAGAGAGGGAGAGGGAGGGCTCAGTGGGAGAGGGATTATAGTGTAACCTCATACAAGAGGGGATGTTCACCAGAAAACACAAGTTAACAAAGCCAGGCAATTACATTGGCTGATTGCTAATGCTGCAGGGCTAACTGAGGGACAGATCGACGGGCTGTAGCTAAATGGTAGGGCTAAATGCTCATGCTAGGCTAACAGAGTGACATACAGAGAGGGGCAAGGCTAAATGCTAACCCCGCTAGGCTAACTGAGGGACAGTCTGATGGAGCGCCGGATGCACGTGGAGGTCACGTTTGGAGACCCTGTGCTGATGGTGCGGAGTGTGTGGGACTGGCTACGCTCTCACCTCCTCTCTGTGTCTGTGTCGGTCTGCTGCTACACTACTGCTCCGTCTGCCAAGAGATGAGACCGAGACCGAGACAAACAGATTAGACATACTAGATTAGATATACTGTTGGGAAGAGCTGAGATGGAGATGGATGTCAACAGGTGAGGGCAGGCTTAGATACAGTACATTATAAACTGGGTGGTTTGAGCCCTGAATGCTGATTGGCTGAAAGCCGTGGTATATCAGACCGTATACCACAGGTATGACAAAATAGCAATATAACAGCAATAAGGCACCTCTGGGTTTGTGATATATGGCCAACATACCCCGGCTAAGTGCTGTATCCAGGCACTCCGCGTTGAGTCGGCTGAACAGCCCTTAGCCGTGGTATATTGGCCATATACCCCCCCCCCCCCCCCCCCTGGCCTTATTGCTTAAGTATAGTATAGCTAGGGTCAGATGACACTGGTCTTCTATAGTCATAGATATAATATACTTAGGTGTGGACAGGTGAAGAATGTCCTTGTCCTTGTGGGCATGGATGTAGTCAGGACCACATTGTCAAACTTTGCAAATAAAAATGCCACGAATAGAGCCGACGTGATTCCTTATTCTACTTGTCAGAGAGGCATGTTTGTTCTACATAGCATATTTATATCTGAACATTCCAAAATGTTGCATCCTGCTGAATGCACCCCTTGTGTACATCCAGTATATAAGGCTGTCTTTCTCTCTAGGATTAGATATGAGGTGGGCAGGTAAACAGTCTCTCCTCTCTCTGTGCTGATCCACACAGGTATGTGTGTAGGTGCTGCTACATACCCTGTCCTCTCTAGTTGAGGCAGGTCTGGACAGGTGAGTTACAGTGAGGGGAAAAAAGTATTTGATCCCCTGCTGATTTTGTACGTTTGCCCACTGACAAAGACATGATCAGTCTATAATTTTAATGGTAGGTTTATTTGAACAGTGAGAGACAGAATAACAACAACAAAATCCAGAAAAACGCATGTCAAAAATGTTATAAATTGATTTGCATTTTAATGAGGGAAATAAGTATTTGACCCCTCTGCAAAACATGACTTAGTACTTGGTGGCAAAACCCTTGTTGGCAATCACAGAGGTCAGACGTTTCTTGGAGTTGGCCACCAGGTTTGCACACATCTCAGGAGGGATTTTGTCCCACTCCTCTTTGCAGATCTTCTCCAAGTCATTAAGGTTTCGAGGCTGACGTTTGGCAACTCGAACCTTCAGCTCCCTCCACAGATTTTCTATGGGATTAAGGTCTGGAGACTGGCTAGACTACTCCAGGACCTTAATGTGCTTCTTCTTGAGCCACTCCTTTGTTGCCTTGGCCGTGTGTTTTGGGTCATTGTCATGCTGGAATACACATCCACGACCCATTTTCAATGCCCTGGCTGAGGGAAGGAGGTTCTCACCCAAGATTTGATGGTACATGGCCCCGTCCATCGTCCCTTTGATGCGGTGAAGTTGTCCTGTCCACTTAGCAGAAAAACACCCCCAAAGCATAATGTTTCCACCTCCATGTTTGACGGTGGGGATGGTGTTCTTGGGGTCATAGGCAGCATTCCTCCTCCTCCAAATATGGTGAGTTGAGGTGATGCCGAAGAGCTCCATTTTGGTCTCATCTGACCACAACACTTTCACCCAGTTCTCCTCTGAATCATTCAGATGTTCATTGGCAAACTTCAGACGGCCCTGTATATGTGCTTTCTTGAGCAGGGGGACCTTGCGGGCGCTGCAGGATTTCAGTCCTTCACGGCGTAGTGTGTTACCAATTGTTTTCTTGGTGATTATGGTCCCAGCTGCCTTGAGATCATTGACAAGGTCCTCCCGTGTAGTTCTGGGCTGATTCCTCACCGTTCTCATAATCATTGCAACTCCACGAGGTGAGATCTTGCATGGAGCCCCAGGCCGAGGGAGATTGACAGTGATTTTGTGTTTCTTCCATTTGCGAATAATCGCACCAACTGTTGTCACCTTCTCACCAAGCTGCTTGGCGATGGTCTTGTAGCCCATTCCAGCCTTGCGTAGGTCTACAATCTTGTCCCTGACATCCTTGGAGAGCTCTTTGGTCTTGGCCATGGTGGAGACTTTGGAATCTGATTGATTGCTTCTGTGGACAGGTGTCTTTTATACAGGTAACAAACTGAGATTAGAAGCACTCCCTTTAAGAGTGTGCTCCTAATCTCAGCTCGTTACCTGTATAAAAGACACCTGGGAGCCAGAAATCTTTCTGATTGAGAGGGGGTCAAATACTTATTTCCCTCATTAAAATGCAAATCAATTTATAACATTTTTGACATGCGTTTTTCTGGATTTTTTTGTTGTTATTCTGTCTCTCACTGTTCAAATAAACCTACCATTAAAATTATAGACTGATCATTTCTTTGTCAGTGGGCAAACATACAAAATCAGCAGGGGATCAAATACTTTTTTCCCTCACTGTAGATAATCCTTCTACAGAGAGAAATATATCTGCTTTTGCATTAGCCAATATGGACGGGTCTGTAGGCTGGGTCAGGTGTGTATTGGGGACATTAGGTCCAACACAAGATCTGATTGTATCTTTATTTGACCAGGTTTGTGACACCTAGGATCTGTCTTTATTATGAAAAGCTGTAATCATGTCGTGGGTGTTAATAAGGTGCTCTGAGTTGATGTTTCTATCTGGGCTAAGGCGGTGGTAAGCCAGGGGGATTTATGATGATGGTTGCTGTCTGAATAGACATCAGGGCTGTAGCTCAGTAGGTCAGAGTTTCACAACTGTTAGTTTTTGACCTCATGAACAGAGCTTTTGTGTTCCTCTTGCAGACCGCACTGACGTCCAGAATGTCACTGCTGACGTGTGTGTGTTTCATGGCTGCTATCATTGACAGGGGCCAGACACATTCCCAGCATTCCAAGAGTGTAGTGTAGGATGAAGGGAAGGAAAGGGGGAGGGAGGGGGCAAAGGGACAGAGCCCTGCTGTTAATAGTGGAGGAGAGGGAGGAATATAGAGGGGGATAAGGATGACAGCGGGAAGCAATGAGTGAAGGCAGGAGAGAGGGAGTGATACTGTGAGGAAGGGAAAAGTATGGGGATTACGAAAAGAAGAAGTAAGGGCAAAGTTTGGGCAAGAGTGAGGGAAGGAGAAAGAAGATCAAGTGAGAGACTCCGTATCATCATTCTCCTCTCCAGGGTCATTCAGGTCAGGTAATAATGGAGGTGGAGATGGGAGGAGGGGGTGAAATCTAATAGAGGGGATTGAGTTACGTCTGACCTCCCCCTGGCCATTCATTAAGCTGTCTGGGCTGAACTGCTGGAGAGCGAGTGAGTGGGAGATAAACGAGTGGATGAGAGAGGAGTGAAAGAGGAGACGGTAGCCGTTTAGAAGGGGTATAGCTCTGCTTTGCTTACCCATTCCTCTCCAGACCCCCTGGAGTGACACCCATCACCCAATGCTCAGCTCAGAGAGGGACAGAGAGCGAGAATGATAGACAAAGTGATTGATTTAGCTGAAAGCCCCCTGCAGATTAGTGCTGTGCTACCTTGGAGTTAGCTCATCGCTCACCTGTCACATTTACCTCTGCCTCTTTGCACTTTTCCTTCTGTCTCGAAAGGAAGGGGCTTTGTCTTCATTTTGCAATGTTTTCAATCTGGCATGTCTGCAAGTTTCAAGTTTTAATGTCAAATGCACAAGTACAGTGAAATGCCTTTCTTGCAAACTCAAAACAATGCTATAACTAATAACAATGTATTATTAAAACAAAAACACAAGAAATAAGAATAAGAAATATGAAATACACAATAAAGTAAGTAAGTAAGTAAGCAACTAATATACAGGAAATATTTAAAAGGTCAGTTCCGATACCATATTTACATGTGCAGGGATGCTGGAGTGATGGAGGTAGATATGTATTGGCGTAAGGTGACTAGGCAACAGGATGTAAGATAAACAGAGTAGCAGCAGTTTGTATGTGAGTGGGTGTGCGGTTGTGTAGAGTCAGTATAAATGTATGTGTATATTATGTGCGAGTGAGCAAATGATGGAGTGAGTGTTTGTGTGTGTGTGTTGGAGTGACAGTGTGTGTAAGTGTGTAGGGCCCTGTGAGTGTGCATAGACAGTGCACATTCTGAAAAAAAAGGTCAATAAAGATGCTTGGGGCTAGAAGCTGTTCAAGAGCCTGTTGATGTCAGACTTGATGCACCGGTACCTCTTGCCATGCTGCTGCAGAGAAAATAGTCTATGGCTTGGGTGGTTGGGTTCTTTGCCGATTTGCCGGGCCTTCTTTTCACATCGCCTGATATAGAGGTCCTGGATGGCAGGGAGCTCGGCCCCAGTTATGTACTGGGCTGTCCGCACAACCCTCTGTAGCGCCATGCGAACGAGGGCGGTGCTATTGCCATTTCAAGCAGTGAAGCAGCCAGTCAATATGCTCTCAATGGTACAGCTGTAGAACCTTTTCAGGATTTGAGGGCCCATGCCAAACCTTTTCAACCTCCTGTGGGGGAAGAGGCACTCTCGTGCCTTCTTCACGACTATGCGTGTATGTTTGGACCATTTTGAAGTCTTTAGTGATTTTGGACACCAAGGAACTTGAAGCTGTCTACTTGCTCCACTGCCGCCATGTCGATGTGGATGGGGGCATGCCCCCCCCCCCCCCCCCCCCCCCCCCCCCCCCCCCCCCCGTTTCCTGTAGTCCACGATCAGCTCCTTGGTCTTGCTAACGTTGAGGTAGAGGTTGTTGCTCCGGCACCACACTGCCAGGTCACTGACCTCCTCCCTGTAGGCTGACTCATCGTCGCCGGTGATCAGGCCTACCACTGTCGTGATGTCAGCAAACTTGATAATGGTGTTGGAGTCGTGGGTGAACAGGGAGAACAGGAAGGGACTAAGAACACACCCAATGTTCAAGAATGGCCCTTTTCCCTTTATTCAGATTACAACCTCTCACTTTCAGTTATTTGAAAAGGAAATAATCTCCCAAATATCACTATTTCTAAAACAAGCCATAGAAAGTTGGTTGCAATTTCAATTTAAGTTTTGAGAATTACACAAATATTAATTTTCGCAAAGTCTGCTGCCTCAGTTTTTATGATGGCAATTTGCATATACTCCAGAATGTTATGAAGAGTGATCAGATGAATTGCAATTAATTGCAAAGTCCCTCTTCGCCATGAAAATGAATTTAATCCCCCAAAAAAACATTTCCACTGCATTTCAGCCCTGCCACAAAAGGACCAGCTGACATCATGTCAGTGATTCTCTCGTTAACACAGGTGAGAGTGTTGACGAGGACAAGGCTGGAGATCACTCTGTCATGCTGATTGAGTTAGAATAACAGACTGGAAGCTTTAAAAGGAGGGTGGTGCTTGAAATCATTGTTCTTCCTCTGTTAACCATGGTTACCTGCAAGGAAACACGTGCCGTCATCATTGCTTTGCACAAAAAGGGTTTCACAGGCAATGATATTGCTGCTAGTAAGATTGCACCTACATCAACCATTTATCGGATCATCAAGAACTTCAAGGAGAGAGGTTCAATCTTACTGTATGTATATACAGTTGAAGTCGGAAGTTTACATACACCTTAGCCAAATACATTTAACCTCAGTTTTTCACAATACCTGACATTTTAATCCTAGTAAAAATTCCCTGTTTTAGGTCAGTTAGGATCACAACTTTATTTTAAGAATGTGAAATGTCAGAATAATAGTAGAGTGATTTATTTCAGCATTTATTTATTTCATCACATTCCCAGTGGGTCAGAAGTTTACATACACTCAATTAGTATTTGGTAGCATTGCCTTTTAAATTGCTTAATTTGGGTCAAACTTCCAAAACCCTTCCAAAAGCTTCCCACAATAAGTTGGGTGAATTTTGGCCCATTCCTCCTGACAGAGCTGGTGTAACTGAGTCAGGTTTGTAGGCCTCCTTGCTCGCACACGTTTTTCAGTTCTGCCCACAACTTTTCTATAGGATTGAGGTCAGGGCTTTGTGATGGCCACTCCAATACCTTGACTTTGTTGTCCTTAAGCCATTTTGCCACACCTTTGGAAGTATGCTTGGGGTCATTGTCCATTTGGAAGACCCATTTGCGACCAAGCTTTAACTTCCTGACTGATGTCTTGAGATGTTGCTTCAATATATCCACATAATTGATGCCATCCATCAATATGAAAATGTATGCACTCTGGATAAGAGCGTCTGCTAAATGACTAAAATGTAAATGTTAATCTATTTTGTGAAGTGCACCAGTCCCTCCTGTAGCAAAGCACCCCCACAGCATGATGCTGCCACCCCTGTGCTTCACGGTTGGGATGGTGTTCTTCGGCTTGCAAGCATCCCCCTTTTTCCCTCCAAACATAACGATGGTCATTATGGCCAAACAGTTCTATTTTTGTTTCATCAGACCAGAGGACATTTCTCCAAAAAGTACAATCTTTGTCCCCATGTGCAGTTGCAAACCATAGTCTGGCTTTTTTATGGTGGTTTTGGAGCAGTGGCTTCTTCCTTGCTGAGCAGCCTTTCAGGTTATGTCGATTTTATATAGGACTCGTTTTACTGTGGATATAGATACATTTGTTCCTGTTTCCTCCAGCATCTTCACAAGGTCCTTTGCTGTTGTTCTGGGATTGATTTGCACTTTTTGCACTAAAGTACGTTCATCTCTAGGTGACAGAACGCGTCTCCTTCCTGAGCGGTATGACGGCTGCGTGGTCCCATGGTGTTTATACTTGCGTACTATTGTTTGTACAGATGAACGTGGTACTTTCAGGCATTTGGAAATTGCTCCCAAGGATGAACCAGACTTGTGGAGGTCTACAATTTTTTTTCTGAGGCCTTGGCTGATTTATTTTCATTTTCCCATGATGTCAAGCAAAGAGGCACTGAGTATGAAGGTAGGCCTTGAAATACATCCACAGGTACACCTCCAATTGACTCAAATGATGTCAATTAGCCTATCAGAAGCTTCTAAAGCCATGACATCATTTTCTGGAATTTTCCAAGCTGTTTAAAGGCACAGTCAACTTAGTGTATGTAAACTTCTGACCCACTGGAATTGTGATACAGTGAATTATAAGTGAAATAATCTGTCTGTAAACAATTGTTGGACAAATTACTTGTGTCATGCACAAAGTAGATGTCCTAACCGACTTGCCAAAACTATAGTTTGTTAACAAGAAATTTGTGGAGTGGTTGAAAAACAAGTTTTAATGACTCCAACCTAAGTGTATGTAAACTTCTGACTTCAACTGTATATACACATATATATTTGCAAGAAAAAAAAACATATGGGGGATTGGAAGTGATGCAGACAATTACATTGATGGAAGTTACAATCTATCTGCAATATTAAAGCTGATCTACACCCTAAAAAAAAGACACTAAAGAAAGAACACACCCCTGTGGGGAACCCTGTGTTGAGGGTCAGCGTGGGGGAGGTGATGCTGCCTACCCTCACCACCTGGTTTCGGCCCGTCAGGAAGTCCAGGATCCAGTTGCAAAGGGAGGTGTTCAGACCCAGAGTCCTAAGCTTGGTGACGAGCTTGGAGGGGATAATGTTGTTGAACGCTGAGCTGCAGTCAATGAACACCATTCTCACATAGGTATTCCTCTTATCTAGGTTGGTGAGAGCAGTGTGGAGAGCAATTGAGATTGCGTCATCTATGGATCTGTTGGGGCGGTATGCAAATTGAGTGAGTCTAGGGTGGCTGGGTTGGTGGAGTTAATGTGTGCCATAACCAGCCTCTCAAAGCATTTCATGATTACAGAAGTGAGTGCTACAGGGCGGTAATCATTGTGGCATGAAGCTTTAGAGTTCTTAGGAACAGGGATGATTGTGGTCATCTTAAAACATGTGGGGATTACAGAATGGGAGAGGAGAGGTTGAAAATTGTGAGTGTGAATGTGTCATCTGCTCTGAGGTAAGGGTTATGTTTGGGTTAAGCTGGTAAAGAGCTTTAGAGCTCGGAAGTCTCTGTTGGCATTGACCAGCCACGGGACTATTAGGCTTACATGCCTGCTCTGTGTCTGTTCTTTACCATGTATTCAGTACAACTTCAGGGCCCGTATCCACAAAGCGTCTCAGAATAGGAGAGTTGATTTAGGATCAGTTTGCCTTTTAGATAATAATGAATAAGATTTATATGGACATATCCTAGATCAGCACTCCTACTCTGAGATACTTTCTGAATAGTCTTTTTATCACTACTCTTTCCTCGCTCTGTATTCAACACAAAATTACAGCAGTCCAGTAGAAAGAATGTGTGAGTGTGGAGTCAGACAGACAGACAAACATTTGGCTGGGGTTGGTTGGTTGTACTTGGCTGTAGTGTAGTGGGGCATGCATTCTTTCGTGGTCTGAGGATTGTAAATGATCATAGAAGACTGGCTTATGATACCCTGTCCTTCCACTGAATGACCTTTGATGAGGACCTCTGCCTCCCTCTTCTTTCTATTGTTGTCTCTTTCTCAAACGTTTTGTCTACCTTTTACGCTCTCCTTCTGTCTCTCCATCTGTCTCTCTCTGTCCCTATCGCTCTCGTTCGCTCTCTTTCTCCCTCCTGTGATTTCCCACACACGTACATTATCATTTCCTAGTCAGTGAAATGTGTGATCGATACTGTGTTCTCCTCTCTGCTTGCTTGCGTCAAAGCCCCTTGCATAGTGACCTTGCTGTATTTTTCCAATAAAGATAAACCAACTCTACATACACATTCACTGCACATACACACCTTCACAGATACTCAAGCAGACTCACAGCAAACCCACACACTCACACAGTGTTCCTGTGTAGGCCAGGGGCGTGTTTTCTGTTGTTGTGGCACCAGTGTGATGGTTCTGGTCAATGTTTTGCGAATGAGGGCTGTGAGAAACGTTGTGTACCTGGCCTTGGCTCAAACGGGCTAGGACCTCTCACGCTCTGCCTCCTGTTGAGTCTGCATAAATGTCTGTGTGTCTTTAGATCATTGGTTTTCACACCATTTTTACCAACCTCTCAAATGGTCTTATGACCCACTGATAAGCGAGACAACATTTCTATCCAGTTTTCTGCTGTGGCCAAGTAGGAATGAGTCGGGACAACCATGTGTAAACCACTAGTTTAGCCGACTGGTGGTGTGTAACCCATTTTGTTGCTTCTCTCCATCCAGACCAAGCCGTGGCAGAAGCTGAAGACTATGGTGCACTGGTCTCCCTTCATCGTGTCCTTTAAGAAGCGCTATCCCTGGGTGCAGCTCGCTGGGCACGCAGGTATACACCACTCCCTTTCACTCTCTCTGTTTCTCTCTCCCTCTCTTTCTCCCTCTCTCTGTTTCTCTCGCTCGCTCTCCCTCCCTCTCTTTCTCTCCCTGCTGGCCTCTTTCTTTCTTTCACACCCTCTCTCTGTACTCGCGCTCTCTCGCTCAGTATTTCTCACTTTCTTTTCCTCTGTCACTCACTTTCCCCCCTCCCTCCCTCCTCTCTCGTAGGTAACTTCCATGCGGGGGAGTATGGGCGTTTGTTGAAGCGCTACTGTGAGTGTGAGCAGCTGTGCCTGTCGAAGCTGATGGGGGAAACTCTGCGGCCCTACGTCCCTGGCTACTACGGCGTGGTGCAGCGGGACGAACAGGACTACAACCTAATGGACGACCTCCTGGCTGACTTTGACTCTCCCTCCATCATGGATTGCAAGATGGGCAGCAGGTGAGAGACCAGGGGAAGAGTTAGGTGTTTTAGTACTGAGCTGGAAAAGAATAGGTAGAATCTACCACACACCCAAAACCGATTAGTGGAAGGCGCTGGAGGCAAAATGTCAGTCGACCTTCATCAGAGCAAAATGAATTCCTGCACGCCCTGAGGCTCTCCAGGACCAATGCTGGAGAGGAGATCACTAGTGTTAGATAACTCAGCTGTTAGATAATGAACTGACCCACTAACCCTGTCTTCCCTGTCCTATCAGGACTTACCTGGAGGAGGAGCTACTGAAGGCCAGGGAGCGTCCGCGGCTCCGCAGGGACATGTATGAGAAGATGGTGGCCGTGGACCCCGGGGCCCCTACGGATCAGGAGAGGGCCCAACAAGGCATCCTGAAGCCCAGATACATGCAGTGGAGAGAGACCCTCAGCTCCACTGCCACCCTTGGCTTCCGCATCGAGGGCATCAAGGTCAGGGGGCACACTGTGTTCAACTGGGCATCAAAATATAATTTTTAGTGTTTCAAATGTATGTGCACAATAACTTGTTCCTGGTCACAATAATAAGACAAGGAAATGGGTGTGATCTGTCCGCACTCAAAAAGATGTCACATAAAGCTTACTTCATTTAAAAAAAAAAAGATTTTCACTGCATCAATAATTAGACTAAATACTGTTGTTTGTTATTTGTGCTGTGCAGAGAGCGGACGGGACATGTAACACCAACTTTAAGAAGACCAAACACACGGAGCAGGTCATGCAGGCCCTGAGAGATTTTGTGGATGGGAACATTCAAATCCTGGTACGTGTTTCTAGAGGGACATTTAGTCGGGTGGCACATAAGGGAACTTGAGTTCTAGGGGGACCTACTCAGTCCCTTCAGATTGACCGTCTGTTTGACTGTTTGTCTCCCCTTCTGTTCTCTCTGGTAGAAACTCTACCTGCAACGTCTGAAGGAGCTGCGATCCGTGCTGGAGAAATCACAGTTCTTCAGAACACATGAGGTAACACACTCACTCACTCACACCCTACATCATCTATACCCATAGTACTCTGCTTTACTTACTGGTGGTAAATTAAGACAATATTTACAGTAACGTTCGGTATGAGTACTTTCCCTCAACAAACCTGTTTGCTGGGTTATGATTCAATGTGATTGATATGAACATGATTCAAATTCCTTATTAAAGCCGCAATATGTAACTTTTTGGGCTACCTGACCAAATTCACATAGAGATGTTAGTTATAGATCTGTCATCCTCATTGAAAGCAAGTCTAAGAAGCAGTAGATCTGTTCTATGTGCACTATTTCTATGCTTCCCGTTCTTAAGTTTCATTTTTGCATCTTTTACTTTCAGTTTTGTACACCAGCTTCAAACAGCTTAAAATACAATATTTTTGGTTATGGGAAATATATTTCAAAGTGGTTTAGATGGTACAATGAATCTGTGCACTATACATGCTTGTTTTGTCACATAAACTGAAATTAGGCGAACTATTAGAATTTTAGCAGCCAGAAATGGCAGAGCGATTTCTGCGTAGTGCAGCTTTAAATCACAAACAAACACTCACACTGACATACTGAACTCAACTGTCCTGTTTTCTCCCAGGTGGTGGGCAGCTCCCTGCTGTTTGTGCATGATGCGTCGGGGCAGGCCTGTGTGTGGATGATAGACTTTGGGAAGACGGTGCCTGTGCCTGCCCCCCTCACCCTGGACCACCGGACCCCCTGGATGGAGGGCAACCACGAGGATGGCTACCTGTGGGGTCTGGACAACCTCATAGACATCCTCAATACCATGCTCCCCCCCAGCCCCTGAGAGAGAGGGGCTGTGTGAGAGAACAAAGGGATGGCCTGGAAGAGAGAGAAAGAGGATGGAGAGAACACTCATCCTAGTCGGAGCGGAGAATGTAGGTGGGGGCGAACAGATGATACTGGTCATTACCCAAACTAGATGTGAGACTGGAGAGATGGAGGGAAAGGATAGGATGATGACCGTGAAAGAGAGCGAGGGAGCACACGGAGCATGGTGGACACTAGCCAGAGTGAGGAAACCTGTCCACACAACCAGTGGTGTGTCCACCGTCATCAACTTCTCTCATTATAAGAGCTATGACGTCAACTATCACTGCCGCGCGCAGACACAGACACACGCACACTACTCTTCCTTCATATTATCACAAGTATGATGATAATGTAGTGAACTTTTCCAATGGGATATATCCTCCTCAAGTGACCTTAGAGGAGCAATGGAGAACGTTTTATTTTCACTATGGACCACTTGACTTTATGCTTTTAAAACGATTTTATATACATGTCAATACTAGAAACACTGGAAAACATGTATATTTTAAACTTTACCTGGTGCTTAGCCTTTTAATGTAAATACAGTTTTATTTTATTTGTTTGCCTTCACAAATAGCCTCTTTACTCTTTGTAATTTTTCTGTGCCTAGATTGTGGGATTGGAGGTAGATTTTTTTTTATTTGAATGTTATTTATTTTTTAAAGTTTGCTGGAGAGTTGACCCAAGGTATGAACTGATGTTTGTAACATTATATTATTTGTAAATTGGATTGACACATGGTGAAAACTGGAGGCTGTTGTTGATTTGGCTCTGTCTGACCCGCGTGGTGTCTGATTGGCAGCATTGACCCAGCAGATAAACTAACAGTAGTTCCTAACCAGGGGTACTAGGACCCCTGGGGGTACTTGGTCTATCCACAGGGGGTACTTGAGAATATTCATGAGACCATAGGCCTACTGGTAAAATGCACATGATGGGGTACTTCAGGTGTACTCCGGGCAGAGCAAAATTCAGTTGGTGGTACAGTAACCGAAAAGGGTTGGGAACCACTGAACTAATAGATGGGATGAATGTTTTTTCTTCTTTACTTTCACATGACTTGGTGGTCATGGCTAACTAGACTGTGTTGCACAAATGGGTTCCTCACAAAAGCCATTGATCAAAGCTAGCCCTGCCTCTGTGTCTCTGAATATGAATTCACTCTGGTGTCCCAGGTTCTTATAAGCAAACAATTTTTTGGTGAATGGCAGTTGACTCATCTGCATAATCGTGACCATTATGCCTTCAGTTCGGTTCAATGATACTCAATTTTTCTGGGAAGGGTAACAATTGGCCTGACAACTGAAATGACTAGTTGAACAAGTCACCTGCAATGAATGCGCTACCGTTTGTTATAATGAGACGTTCATCTATACGTCAGACTTTTATATAAACTGGGAAATGTGTATCTGATTTAATATTGAATCATTGATATCAAAGACGACATTGTGGTGACATTTATTTTTTCTAATTGAAGGAGGATTCTGCATCTGTCATTGTTTGGTACACTTTTTCTTTCAAGGTAATGATGGTTTAACACTACCATTCCTCTGTAAGTTGAGATATAAATATAAAAACAAAAACTCACCCATAATGACAGAGGTCAATTTGATGTGTTGCTGCTGATGACCATATTTGACACCTTTTCTGAACGGTGTCAGGTCTTGTGTCACTGGATTTATAGAACTGTCAGCCAACATTCCCATCCATGTCTTCCTCCATATTCTTCAACAGAGTCAGACAACACTGTTTGTGTATTTGTGGTGTGAGCAGATTTCTCTATCTAGAAAATAGAGGGGCTCTGTGTATGACTGGTATGTAACTGTCAGCATTGACAACATGGAACTGGAATTCTGTTTCTACTGTTGACATCTCTCAAATAATCCACACCATAAAAGCACACATTCTGGAAGTATATATTCTGGAACAATGTATTGTTTACAAAGTATTATATATCTTACGTACCATGTATCCTCTTTATCTTAACCTGACAGTTACAAGCTTTCAGACCGTTTGGGTTGTTTGTGTGTGGCTGAGAGCTGGACTGTGTATTAGGGTAGGAGGTTGGAGAGGTCTAAGATATTTTATAGTTTGGATAATCCTTTCCTCTGCTGTACTTCAGGAAACAGTGCATTGCAAGATGCTGGGGGACACAAATACGAATGTTCTGAGGATTGAGACTGGTCCTTGCTCTCTTTGTCTAGAATACCATTGATTGTAATAAACTGGAACTAAGAGCTCAAGTCTTTCTAATCTGAAACCCCTTGTCTCCTCATTCTTCAACACCAAACATATCAGAAGTATGAATCATATTGATGGAAAGGGTTTTTACACTCCCCTACGTATGTATTTGGACAGTGAAGCTACATTTTAAAAATGTGGCTCTATACTCCAGCATTTTCTTTTTGAGATACTGTTTCATATTAGGCGACAGTACAGAATGTCAGCTTTATTTGATGGTATTTTCACACACATGTTTTACCATTTGGAAATGAAAGCACTAAGTATCTAGTCCCCCCCATTTCAAGAAGTAATACGCACTTGGACAAATTCACTCCGTGTATTATAGTAGCCAAAAGGTGAGTGAAACAAACTGTAAATGCATCCAACGAGTGTGTAGAGTCACAAGCTTGATGTAGTCATTGCATGCTAGGTATATGGGACCAAATACTAAACTTTTGACAACTTTAATACACTAAGTGACTTTGTCCAAATACTTATGACTTCTTCACATTGGGGGGACTAGATACATAAAGCGCTTTCATTTCTAAATGGTAAAACAGATATTTATGAAAATACCCTCAAATAAAAGGTGACATTATGTACTGTCGCCTCATATGAAACATTTTATCTCAAATCCAAAATGCTGGAGTATAATTCAAAATACATATGGAGGGGACAGTACAGTATATGGTTCCTGTGAGCATTACATTGTGGAATGACATAAAAGAGCATATCTGATAACTATTTTGCATCATATCCAGAAACACTCATATACACAACAAGGTCACGATTCAATGATATTTCAACTATTGACAACAGTAAATATGTTTATTCTGTGTGCACTTGGAATTGCTTGATAATCAGTATAAATACAGGTAGGTACAGGGTTCTCATCGTATGCAATATTACAGCCTGTTCGACCATGTGAAGTGAATCAAACATTTCAGTAAGGCACAGGGTCCATAGAGGAGCCACAGATTTGGCAAAGGGCCACTTCACATTCAAACTCTTCATTCTGATAAGTAGTATACAGATAAGAACAGTCTTATGATCATCCTCCAGTGTCCTATAAAATAAATTAATGCCAACCCATGAAAACATCCTTAGACCCTTTCATCATGTCCTCTACTTACAGTATTATAGACTGTCATGCTGTCCTGTGTCCAGGCCAATGAGTCACCATTTGTACCATAGCAGTGTTCCAGGAGAGAAGGCCCATGATCACTGAGTCTGCCCCCCAGTGTGGAGCAACACGACCTGGCCTGCCAGCCCAACCTCCACCCCTCCCTTGGGCACCACGTACTGGGTACTGTCCCCAGCCCTCTGGGGATCTATCTCCCTCAGCTGGGCATTGCTTTGGGCTACCTTGTCCAGGCTCCACAGCTGGTAGCGCAGGCTCTTACCCTGCTTGGCCAGGATGTAAGCTTCTCTTGCCCCCACTGTGGGACAGGGGCATGGGCATGAGGGGCTGTCCTGTGGCAGGAGTAGCCAGGGCAGGGTGGGGTCAGGTTGGGTGTGCTCTCTGCTCACGCTGTCCTGGTCCAGACCCAACAAGACACCTGGGAGAGATAGAGAGGTTATAGGAAGGGTCAAATGTCAAGACATGGGTCGTGCGTGTGTGTTGCAGTCAAGGAGCTCCAGTCTAACCTGAGGCCACTGCCCAGTGTGCCCTGTGTCCGCTGCGTTGGCATGGCTCATGGTTGAAGTCCTCGTCATATCTGTGTTTATGCAGTCAAAGACCTCAAACACATACAGTACACATCACATTACTCATATATTGTATAATAAATATTTGCGGTAACAGCTATTACTTAAGAAATGTTGTTGTAAAATGGTCAAATGCATGGTAACAACCTAATAATTACCACTAGGTTACCTTAAGAACACCACCATCTATCAGTACCTAACTACCACTACCTGAGACAGACTAACTAGAGCAGATGGGTCCTTTCGAACAGCCTGAATGTGAGAGAGTATAAAGGATCCGGGATGAGGACGGGTTGCCCGTCAGCCAGGTGTTTCAGGACAGCTGTAGAGTTGTCTCCAGTCATCCCTCCTGACAGGAGCTCAGCCCTGCACTCACACACCTCCTCTGCAAGCATGGCCATGTCTCTAGCTGAATCACACACACACACACACACACACACACACACACATTAGTCTCACTAATAGAGTATAGCTCCGCTGGTGTTGTTGAGAGTATGCAGCATAGATGACTAAAGCATTACCCGAGAACATCTCCCCCTGCGCTGTGTAGCCCCTGTCCATCGCTGTCTGGACTATGGTCTCCATGGAAACACTCAGAGGGGGCTGTCGTAGGTGACCTGCCATCCATAGAGCCACCAGACCACATCTACAGGTAAAAACACACACACCTCAGGCAGCGGTACGTACCTTAGGAAGTATAACATGACCTTTAATGACAAAACTACAAACAAGAGACATCAGATTAGGGAAGGAAGATTAATTCACACGTATTAGATCAGTGATTACTTCAATGGAGGAAGGCTCCATTTTGAAAAGCCTAAATAAAGCTTCACGTGACTTACTGTGGGCCGTCTTGGATGAGGGAAGGCACATACTTGTTCAACAGCATCCAGTGCAGGTCCTTCCTAAAACTATGTCAACCAGTAAACAGTCAGCCACACCACAAAACAGACTTTCTTACTGCCACCTGGTAACAAATGAGTTATTGAACAATGCATATATCCCAATAGTATGTACTGTAGCTTGGTCTTGGTGGGATAGCTCAGCGCGTCCTCTCTTTTCTTGCATTTGTGTTCTATTTGTTGTTGCAACTCCCACAGAATCACTACAGTGCTGCTTTCATGGACAGAAACTGTTCTAAACTGAATGCCCAGGTGCAGAACACCCCCACCCCAGTGCACTGATTATAAAGGTGGAGAGTGTTACCCAATGTGCGACTGATGACCCCATTCCATAATCTGTAGGACATTTTACATTTTAGTCATTTAGCTGACGCTCTTATCCAGAGTGACTTACAGGAGCAATTACGGGTTAAGTGCCTTGCTCAAGGGCACATAGACAGATTTTTCACCTAGTCGGCTTTGGAATTCAAACCAGCAACTTTTCAGTTACTGGCCCAACACTCTTAACCGCTAGGCTAACTGCAGAACTATTTCAGTGGTTTTCCAACCACCATGTTGGAGATCCTGAATAGGCTTTAGCTGCAACGCTTGTCTGATAACTTCTGTTTTCTGTAGACAGCTTGCCTCACCTACTCTCCCTCTGACAGAGCAGCAACCGAGCCTCTGCATGATCCCCCTCGACAGGGGTCTTTCCTGCCGCTATGGCCTGGTACAGCTTCTTCTTGCTTGGCCCCGAGGCAGCTGTAGGTGGGGGTGGTCCTGGTGGTGGTGGAGGAGGTGGATGCTCCATTGAAATACCCTGTCACTGCAGTGCAATTCTGTGTGATAAGAGACTGAGAAAAGGGAATGATAAGGGCTCCACTCCATGACAGGAAGCTATTGAAATGACACATATGACCCACTGATGGAATAAAGTTGCATTAATGATTTAGTGATACATAAAAAAATAAACATTACTGTGTAGGCCTATTACCTGATCTCCTTATTGCTTAACTTACTGTCAGAGCTTCTCCATCTGATGCCATGTCTAGCTAGATATGTTACACCATGACAAAAGTTGCAAAATACGTTTCTGAAATATGTGCATATGACATGCAGTTTTATTAACACTCACTTTATTGCATGGCTGTTTTAGCTGTAATGAGACGACTACAAGTGCAGACCTGAGAGATATTTTCAAGTTTTTACATGTTAGGACTAGTACCTAGCTAGCTAGCTGAATATAGCCATATTTGGTAACAAACACGGCGATCATTTAAAGTGGTAGCTGCGGCTACAATGTGGCATTTTCTACAGCAAGGTTAAAGAACAGAAGACCTACTTAGCTAGCTATCAATAACAAAATAATTGAAAAGTAGTTCATCTTTTGAACCAAATAATAGCTGTTTGAAACATACGGATGGCTCTCAAACTCAGTAGATTGCACGATGATAATATCATAAGGATATGTTAAAGCCTATTTCTTTAGATGTGTAAAAGTAAATCAATATGATTTACAGATTTGATCATCTGCGCAGCATCTCGCTCAGGCTGACTCTCGCGAATGAGCACCAATTTTACAAGGGGCAGGAGCGTCTGAAATGTAGCACTACATATCCAATGATGTTCAGGGGGTGGCTAAAACAATCCAATGAAAAGCTGTCTGGACAGGATCCGGAAATTACACCAGCCAATCAAAATAGTTGGCTTTGTTAGCTATCAAGGCTTTCTATGTCTTCTACGTTAGCTAGCAAGCTCCAGCAGAAAGAATAAAGTGATTCTGGCTCCAGGGGTAGAGAGTTGTCCGCTACACGTGTAACGTTAGCTAGTTTCATTCATTTCTTTCGAGGCCGATTAGATTGTGCGTCCCAGTACTGAAATGTAAATACGTCTTAATTATTATGTATTTGTCTATTTCACAAATTTTCTAATTTGCAAGTTAGCTACCAGTTTGGAGATTGATGCGTCAGCCAACTAACGACGCTATATCGGTGACGTTAGTAGTTAGCAAATGGCAGCTAGTAGCTTGTTAGTTATATATTTTTAGCTAGCTACCTGTCTACTTTTTCATTGTAAAACACTTCGTACATGTTGCATAATGGTTGAAACTAGCTAGCTACCAACTTCTTCTACATCTAGCTAATTCTTGCAGACTTTAATGAGGTAATAGGCCGCTAACAGTAACGGAGGCTAGCTAACGTTACCTGACCTGTTTTCTAAGTGACCAATTTGTTTTATTTCACAGAAGATGGCTGCTCCGGATATGCGCCTCAACCACACTATATACATCAACAACCTAAACGAGAAGATTAAAAAAGATGGTTAGAGCTTAGAGCTGGCTACCCCTTCATTTTTTGTTACGATTTTGCCCTCATGTCTGTGTTTGTTTTCCCATCAACCATGCCAATGGCTCCTTGCCTAAACATGTATTGTTTGTACCCTTTGTCACGCAGAACTGAAGAAGTCGTTGTACGCGATCTTCTCTCAGTTTGGTCAAATCCTGGACATTTTGGTTGCCCGCTCCCTGAAAATGAGGGGTCAGGCCTTTGTCATCTTCAAGGAGGTCAACAGCGCCTCCAATGCCCTGCGTTCCATGCAGGGGTTCCCATTCTATGAAAAACCTATGGTGAGCTACTGCCAATAACACCTTGGTACACATCAGCTAGCTTTTGCCTGACACATGTTTAGCTAGAGAATAATTATTCTCTAATATGCAGTCCTGTAAATAGTCCTGTCGTCATCAACTGTCCCTCTTTCTCATGGCAGCGTATTGGGTACGCCAAGGGGGACTCTGACATAATCGCTAAAATGAAGGGCACCTACGTGGAGCGGGACCGTAAGAAGGAGAAGAGGGTCAAGGGCCCAGAGGCAGCAGGGGCCAAAAAGGGTGTGCCAGGAACCCCTGTAGTACCCATGGGCCCTGGAGTTCAAACACCCATGGGCCCTGGAGTTCCAACACCCATGCCCGTAAGTGTTGTACTGTGAGCCTGAAGACACAGAACCACGTTTGTAGCCACAAATGCACTGTTAGCCTCTGCGCTTAACATGTTTACTTTAAGACATGTCTATCTAAAATGGTGGATTGTGTGTTATTCCACGTGTATCGCTAAATGATAGTGCGGCTGATTTAATTGAACATTCTTGTTCTTCTGAAGGGAATGCCACCCATGAGCGGGGCTCCTCGTATGATGCAAATGCCAGGGCAGCCCCCCTACATGCCCCCGCCAGGCATGATGCCACCTCCCGGGATGGGCCCTGGGGGGATGCTCCCTGGTGCCATGCCTCCGGGTGGGATGATGCCCGGGCAAATGCCCCACGCCCAGGTATGGATCACGTTTATCCGTGTTAGTTTGTCTTGTCAGTGCCCTTTTTATTAACTACACAGCAGGTCTGTTTAGTGGAACACTGTAATCATGAGTTTGCTTGTCGTTCATCTTACTGTATAATCTCACTCTGTAACTTATTATATAGATAAATGTAATCTTCCTTTCCTCCAGGTTGCAGAAAACCCTCCCAACCACATCCTGTTCCTCACCAACCTCCCAGAGGAGACCAACGAGCTCATGCTGTCTATGCTCTTCAACCAGTTAGTACATCTTCATTTTATTCTCCCCTTCTACTATACTCCTTGGTGCGGTGTGAAAATGTAATGTTTATTCTTCCATGTCCTGTGGTATTGGAACATATCTGTTTGGTTTTCAGCTTCCAATGTTGTGGTTATGTCAACTACTAGTGTTTGTGTATGGTGAGATTGAATATGTTGACAAGTATAGACCCTTGATGTCTTTAACAAGTCTGCCCCGAAGCTCTGTCCTGATGTTGACCGTTTTCCCACTTCAGGTTCCCTGGGTTCAAAGAGGTACGTCTGGTGCCTGGTCGCCACGATATCGCCTTTGTGGAGTTTGATAATGACGTGCAGGCTGGAGCAGCCAGGGAGGCACTACAGGGCTTCAAGATCACCCAGACCAACGCCATGAAGATCTCTTTCGCCAAGAAATAACACACCAGAGAGCTCTTGAGTGGTTTACAATCTCACACACACACACCAGAGAGACCTCCTCCCCTTAAACTATACCAGCACAGAGCCGACTACTAACCTGTCCATCGCCAAGGAAGCACAGTGTGTTACAAGTCCGCCTATAGAAGAGCAAATATTTTTAGCCTCTTCTTTTTTAAGTTGAGATTTTTATTGTAATTGTCCTGTTACTGCCCTTCCTGTGATCCCCCATACTCATTTAGAATAACTGGAGATGACTTGCCTTGTATGTGATGGTAGGTTACCAGCGGTTTAGAGAAGAGACATAGACAGAGGTCAGCATTTTGATGATTGAAATGCTGGCACCAGGCTTGAAAATGATAACTTGTAAGGACTATATTGGTATAGTGATTTGGTGCCAACATAGAGGATAGTTAGCTGACATTTGCATATCCATAGCTCTGGTTAAGAAAAAATGAAAATGTCAGTTTCTGCACCCATTAATTGAGGATAAAATCTGGTGTTTGTATGTAAGTATATTTTCATTTTTACTGTCTTGTCTGTTATAAAGCATTGCACCCAGGGTCTGTTTCGCCCAGACATTGTACCTGGAGCTTTTCTGTTTGATTAAAACATGTGCTTTTTATAATGACTAATGCTGTACGTGTTCCTTTCTGCTTTTATGTTCGGGGAGACACCAGGGGCTGTATAGATGGGTTGGTTGTTTAACAACAAAACCAATGCGTGTGCAACTATGGGCCAAAACAGGCTGGGTTGGTGTAGATTATCAACAATCTATATTTTGTCTCAATGTTTGAAAATATAACTACATTTGCACAATGAGCACTTGTCTCTCAAGTACATTGTTACAGTTGTTGTTTTGCCATATTACCATTGACATGAAATCAGTCAAAACGCTTCCAGACAAGAACAAGATAAAACTAGCTGAAATTAGCCACGTACGTTTCCCCACGTGGCAGCGTCACATCATTATTGCTAGCTATCTGACTGTTCAAAATCATAACAAAGCATGTCTTCTGGCCCCATCAATGCAGGCATCTTTTTTGTGATGTCAGCCAACCCGTCTACTGATTTATGATAGGTCTTTCCTTCTAGAGCACAATTCATAATATTACGTTGAGAAGAGGGGCCTGGGCCCCTATCTACAAGCATCTCGGTAGGAGATGCCTTTCAGATAATGACTGATTTATATGGACAGATCCTAGTTCAGCACTCCTACTCTGATATGCTTTGTGGATACAGCCCCTGATCCTAGTTCAGCACTCTTATTCCGAGACGTTTGTCACATACGGCCCCAGAAATGGGATCAAGTATCTCTAGACCAGAGATGTAATTACATCTATAGTGATTCAAACAGCCTACTGTAACTTCATGAACATCTTATACTGAACCAGTGTTTCAGTATCAAAAGTTTGTTTTCCATCTCATACAAGTAGTAGAAGAAAATTGACTACATCAAAATGGAGATGCCCATGCTCTCACAGACACTAATGGGACAGATACAATATTGCTTCCTCTAACTATCTCTATGTGTCTAACTAACTAATGCGGTGAGAAATATGACGCTTTCCCCAGCATGATGCAGTAAGCGGACTGGTGGGACTGTAGTCTAAACGTTGATCTGGCCTCTTGTCTGCACTTTTGCGAGAGTTTGTGCCCTCCCCTTGATAATTCTGCAATCAATTAAAACATTTTGGGGAAATGTTTCCATTTGATTATTATAACCTATAAAGTAATGATATTTCTTTCTTTCTGGAGCATTGTGTCATAATGGAATGGCTCTGTACTACCATGGAAATCATCATTACTGACTACCTCCCTACCCTGTCTGGCCTCAGCCACGGCAGTTTCATCTAATTTCTACCATGAATCAGACCACAATGTCTGGATGGCCCATTTCATCAATGCTATTTTCCCTTTGTGCTCAATTCGTTTAAAGAAGTTTTGGAGATTTAATTTAAAAAATGTCCCCTTTGAATATCTTTAGCATTGATTGTGCCTGTGAGTTCAGGTGGGCCGTGAGCCTATAAATCAGCACAATCTACTTTTTAGTTTTTTCAAATTGTCTTGGAGCTAGAATTGGGAGCATGTATACTGTGCTAATGCCAATACAAAACAAAGAGAAATGGAGAGCACTGTACAATACTACGAACTTGGCAAGTACATGGGGGCTGCCATCTTTACGCACCTTCGTATTAAGCCCTTTTTTAAAAAACTTACACAGCGTCAGATGAACTCAAGGATACCCTTTTTATGTTTGAAGGAAGTTGAAGGTAGTTTCTGGAGCTATTGCTAGCTGTTCTTGTTGACTTCCAGTCATTGCGCTAACGCTATTAGCAGTGGCTCCAGAAACTACCTTCAACTTTCTACAAACTGCACGCAGTAACATAAAAATGGTATCCATGAGTTGATTGATTGAATTTATTACATAACTAAAAGTAGTAGACTGCTCCAGCCAGAGACAACATTACATACATAAAACAATGATCGAGGATAATAACACAATAAAGGCCGGAGGCTTATTTCCATTGTGGTCCTCATCAAGTTCATCTGACTCTGGGTATGTAGAAAAAAGGGCTTAATTGCCAAAACGTCGTATTATGCCTTTAATGACCGCTGATCTGAAAGGTCTCGATAGGAGAAAGTAATATGAAATATAGCTACGGCAGCAATGAGCGGGGTTCACAGGATGACAGAAAGAACAGAAGATCAGCTGGATAACAAAGCAAACACTATCATGTAGGAACCATCTTCCTTTATGTGCAATCAGTGAAAGCATGACCATGTTTATCTCAATACCACAAGGATAACACATATGAAGTTTAGTCTAGTGCTGTAGGTTGGTTATCTTTTAATGCAGCCGGTAATCTTCTAAGCACATATACAGTTGAAGTTGGAAGTTTACATACACCTTAGTCAAATACATTTAAACTCAGTTTTTCACAACTCCTGACATTTAATCCTAGTAAAAATCCCCTGTCTTAGGTCAGTTAGGATCATCACTTTATTTTAAGAATGTGAAATGTCAGAATAATAGTAGAGAGAATTATTTCTTTCAGCTTTTATTTATTTAATCACATTCCCAGTGGGTCAGAAGTGTACGTACACTCAATTAGTGTTTGGTAGCATTGCCATTAAATTGTTTAACTTGGGTCAAACGTTTCGGGTAGCCTTCCACAATAATTTGGGTGAATTTTGGCCCATTCCTCCTGACAGAGCTGGTGTAACTGAGTCAGGTTTGTAGGCCTCCTTGCTCGCACATGTTTTTCAGTTCTGCCCACAACTTTTCTATAGGATTGAGGTCAGGGCTTTGTGATGGCCACTCCAATACCTTGACTTTGTTGTCCTTAAGCCATTTTGCCACAACTTTGGAAGTATGCTTGGGGTCATTGTCCATTTGGAAGACCCATTTGCGACCAAGTTTTAACTTCCTGACTGATGTCTTGAGATGTTGCTTCAATATATCCACATAATTTTCCTTCCTCATGATGCCATCTATTTTGTGAAGTGCACCAGTCCCTCCTGCAGCAAAGCACCCCCACAGCATGATGCTGCCACCCCCGTGCTTCACGGTTGGGATGGTGTTCTTCGGCTTGCAAGCGTCCCCCTTTTTCCTCCAAACATAACGATGGTCATTATGGCCAAACAGTTATATTTTTGTTTCATCAGACCAGAGGACATTTCTCCAAAAAGTATGATCTTTGTCCCCATGTGCAGTTGCAAACCTTCCTTGCTGAGCGGCCTTTCAGGTTATGTCGATTATATAGGACTCGCTTTACTGTGGATATATATACTTTTGTACCTGTTTCATCCAGCATCTTCACAATGTCCTTTGCTGTTGTTCTGGGATTGATTTGCACTTTTCGCACCAAACTACATTCATCTCTAGGAGACAGAACGCGTCTCCTTCCTGAGCGGTATGACGGCGGCGTGGTCCCATGGTGTTTATACTTGCGTACTATTGTTTGTACAGATGAACATGGTACCTTCAGGCGTTTGGAAATTGCTCCCAAGGATGAACCAGACTTGTGGAGGTCTACAATTTTTTTTCTGAGGTCTTGGCTGATTTATTTTGATTTTGCCATGATGTCAAGCAAAGAGGCACTGAATTTGAAGGTAGGCCTTGAAATACATCCACAGGTACACCTCCAATTGACTCAAATTATGTCAATTAGCCTATCAGAAGCTTCTAAAGCCATGACATCATTTTCTGGAATTTTCCAAGCTGTTTAAAGGCACAGTCAACTTAGTGTATGTAAACTTCTGACCCACATGTTTTGTCAACGATCTACACAATACTCTGTAATGTAAACAATTGCTGGAAAAATTACTTGTGTCATGCACAAAGTAGATGTCCTAACCGACTTGCCAAAACTATAGTTTGTTAACAAGAAATGTGTGGAGTGGTTGGAAAACGAGTTTAAATGACTCCAACCTAAGTGTATGTAAACTTCCGACTTCAGCTGTATATAAGGTTTACATCCCAGATTTCATGGCCCATGTCCATCGGTTCAGCCCTTATAGCCCTATATGGTGCCATCTGTTGGTGTAGCGTGGCCGAATTTGAATGCAGCAACTAGTCATTCTCAAATTCATTAGAAAAAGGAAAGGGAAAGAGGGATACCCAGTTACTTGTACAACTGAACACATTCAACTGAAATGTGTCTTCCGCATTTAACCCAACCCCTCTGAGGCTAATTCATTGAGTCTATATACTACATCTGGAGTCAATCTGACTTATGGGTCATGAGAAAAATGTATTTTTAGCATTAGCTTATGTGCTAACGTGCATCTATAGGTACAGTGCAGCCATTTTTGAATGCAGAAACAAAATCAACCATTAAAGACTGATGTAATAAGTCTAAATACAGGGATCAGGAGAAGATGATTGCAGATGATTTTGAGCATTAGTATTACATATGCAAAGAATGAGTTGTTAATAGTTTCCTTGTTTTTTTTTATATATCAATACCTTTATTCAGGGTGGTTCATCTTAGGGATGTCCATGATAGCGATGACAAGTTTCAAGTTGATATGCCTGTGGGAAGTGGATTTACAGTGGTTCAATGGACACGTGAAATCTGGTTTTTGATTTGTCATTAATTCAGCCATCCTTTGACCAATCCCTTACTTTTTCTCAAACTAAGTTAAGACATGTACCTTGGGCCTACATTCCAATATGGTGTTATTCGGTTCTATGGGTCATGAGAAGAAGATTTTAACAGTAATTTTTGTATATTTTAGCATATTAGCGTATGTGCTACTACTGGTAGGGAATGTGGAAAGAGGGGGACATTATATAAACTGGGATATACAGTACATTCGGAAAGTATTCAGACCCCTTGACTTTTTCCACATTTTGTTACGTTACAGCCTTATTCTAAAATTGATAAAATAGTTTTTTCCCCCTCATCAATCTACACACAATACCCCATAATGACAAAGCAAAAACAGGTTTTTAGACATTTTTGCACATTTATTAAAATAAAAAATGGAAATATCACATTTACATAAGTATTCAGACCCTTTACTCAGTCCCGTGTTGAAGCACCTTTGGCAGCGATTACAGCCTCCAGTCTTCTTGGGTATGACGCTATAAGCTTGGCACAACTGTATTTGGGGAGATTCTCCCATTCTTCTCTGCAGATCTTTCGCCCCCAGTCTCAGGTCCTGAGCGCTCTGGAGCAGGTGAACATAATAATATAATAATAATATGC